TTTGTTCTACCTCAGGTAATTATTTTTCAACCTCAGGTATATAATTTTATGCTTGTAAAGGTATATATTTATCAACCTGTGGTGCATTGTTTTACACTTCCGGTTGTTATAAATCAACCTGAAGTGTATTTTCCACACTTGAAAAGGTTATTTTTATTAAAGGTTATTATGGAAAGGAAGATACCTACCTTAAGTTATTATTTCGTAACCTGAAGTACATATTTTTAGAAGTATTAATTTAGCAACCAAAGATGCAACATTTTGCACTTCAGGCTTATGTAGCTCAACCTAAAGCTGTTTTATCAGTACTTACGAAGGTGAGGTGTTATACGGACCACCTAGTTGATTAATTTTTAACCTCACCATATAAAAAATATAATATATATAAAGATATTATCTATATTATATGAAGAATAATGTATGTCATTACATTTTTTCACTAGTGGAGATCTTCATTTATCAATCTGAAGTTTTTAATATTAAATCTTCGGCTGTAATTGCTTTTTTTTTTTAAGTTATAAAGGAAAGTTTCAAATGCATAATTCTTCTGTAATTTTAATAGATAGAATTAAATCATCTTAAAATTACACTTATCCAAATTCTACAATTAGTAAAAATTATTTATGGGAACTCATATTTTTAGAAGATAGTTGTCTAATGTGCTTGAATTTCTTAAGCTATAAAACTACAAATTTAAATAATTAGTAATTAATAATTTTTCATGATATTGTTTAGTTCTTTCAACTGCAATTTTCCTTGCTTCGGTGGAAAAATTTCTTCAGATAAAGGATGATTAAATGGGAGAGTGCCAAACATTAAATAAGCTGGGGGAAATTTATTTACCGAATGTGGATTTAAATTATATTCTTCAGTTACTTCTTTTAATAATTTAGGCCAAGGAACTTTTTTAGAAGAATTTACAATGGTTTGTCCTAAACGTTCAACTTTTCCATTAGTTTCAGGTCCATGGGCTGTAGTTAACAATTGTTTGATCTTGCTATGTTTAATAAATTTTTTAAAATGGGAAAAAGTAAATGCGGCATTTCGATCACTCAAAATAGGGTTTGAATTTGAAAAATTTGGTGCAAAAAATTAACATAGGTTTCCGTAGTTATTGATTTCGAGGCACACATATATCGAGTGTGATGATCAATTACTAAAGTTAAATATTTTTTGGTAGAATTGTAATAATTAAAACCACCTACACTATCGATTGCAATTATTTCAAAAGGTTTGTCAGCTGGGAGCATTTCCTGAAGTAACCCAAATCTTTTCTGTCTAGGTTTTTTTATTAATTTAACAAGTATGACAATGTTTGTTAAAATTTGTAATGTCCAAAGTAATATTTTCCCAATAGTAAACAGGAGTAAGTAAATTAATAGTTTTTTGAATTCCGGAATGGCCAAATTTTTTATGAGTAATTTCAAGTAATTTATGCCTTAAAGAAAATGGAACAACAATTTTGGTAAAACCCTTTTTACGTAAACATAAAACATTATCTATTTTAATAAAATTTCCAGTTAAATTATTATTTTGTTGGGCTTCGCGAATTTCATCCAATTGCAAAAGATGTGAAAAATGGCCTACATTATTTAAATCAACATCACTATTGTGTTCAATATTGTCAGGAATATCACGGGATAACATGTCAGCTTCAAAGTTTAAGGTGCCTTTTGTGTATTTTATATCATAATCATTCATACTTAATAGTAAAGACCAGCGGAACAATCTACCTTTCAGATTTTTAAATTTTTTTAACCAAACTAAAACCGCATGATCTGTATGTATGGTAAATTTATTTCCAAATAAATAATGATAAAATTTGTTTAATGCATCAACAATAGGAAGACATTCCAGTTCTGTGATAGCATAATTTTTCTCATAGTCTCTAAGAGAACGAGAATAGAATGCTATTGGATGTAAGACACCTGAAACATCTGGCTGTTTCAAAATTGCTCCTTCCTCCATGACTTTCCACACGCTGATGGGGAAAGCATGTGAAGTGTTGCCATAGGTAGAGAGTTCTGCTTTACGCCACCTGCAGCCCATTTCGATCGCCAATAAGATATTCATAATAATTTTTTATTTTTTTAAAAAATAATAAAATGCATGTAGGATTTATTTTTGACCAAAAAAAAAATGGCAGAGTGAAAACTAGCTGAAAATCGTCAGTTATTTTCCAACAAATTTTTTCAGATAGTTACTTAGTCTGTCTGTGGTGTGACCATTCATTTTGCCTTATAGACTACACTGTATTAATATATCTTATTAAAATATTCAAATAAAAATAATGAGCTTCCAAGATTAAGAAAAGCTTCCAAGTAATTTTCAAAATATTCATAATAATTTTGTATTTTTTCTAAAAAAATAATAATAAAATGCATGTAAGAGTTTTTTTTGACCCAAAAAAATGGCAGAGTAAAAAATAGCTGAAAATCGTCAGTTATTTTCCAACAAATTTTTTTAGATAGTTATTTAGTCTGTCTGTGGTGTGACCATTCATTTTGCCTTATAGACTACACTGTATAAATACATCTTATTAAAATATTTAAATAAAAATAATGAGCTTCCAGGATTAAGAATAGCTTCCAAGTAATTTTCAAAATATTCATAATAATTTTGTATTTTTTTAAAAAAATAATAATAAAATGCATGTAGGATCTATTTTTGACCAAAAAAAAGGCAGAGTGAAAAATAGCTGGAAATAGTCAGTTATTTTCCAACAAATTTTTTTAGATAGTTATTTAGTCTGTCTGTGGTGTGACCATTCATTTTGCCTTATAGTTTACACCGTATAAATTTATCTTATTAAAATATTTAAATAGAAATAATGAAAAAACAACAACTCATGAACAAATATTTATTATATTTAGTCATCCATAGCACAAAAAAATAAATAAATGTTCAATATTACATGAAAAGTAAAGCGTATAAAATTGCTAAGCACAAAAGTGATATTCAAAACCAAACCATTGAAAAATCAGAAATTAAAAATAAACTCGTTTAAAATTGTTCTCTAGTGACAAGATGAAACAAAGAAAAGAAAAAAAGCTTAATTATTATAACAGTAGCATTATTATAACAGTAGTAGTAGTATTAATATATATCACAGTTTATATAAGTTTGTCATTCTTCATTATCTCAAAATATTAATACACATCAATAAATAACAAAATCAAACCTATTTATCAACCTCAGAAAACATTGCTACGTTTGAATCCTGTTTTAACGAATTTCTAGGGCAATCTCTACGCAATAACGAAAATTCGTTATACCGATATTACGAATTTCAACATTAACCAAAGGTATTTTGTTACATTGGAATTTTTTGCAGAAAAAAAATAAATATTGCATTTAATTACAGTTTACTCTACATGTAGAAAATAGCAACCAAAAATTTTAAAAGCTCACAAAAACATCCAAATTAAAAGGAATTTATTATCACCTACTTAACAGAAACTACGTAATCCATAATTTTTTTCTGTACAAATGATTTAAAACCAGTATAAATTACTCCTAATTATGCGCATTTTCAAACAACTGAACTGGAAATCACTTTTTTGGAAAGCCACATGTATTTTCCCTTCTTCAAACAAGAATAAGTTGGGGTTTCCGAGTCATTATTATTTTTTCTTTTGACATGTCCTTCTCATATTAGATACTTTTTTATTTTGAGGATGCAAAAATACTCGAATTCCGAGATCATTGTGTACTTTTAAAGACTGGAAAAGTGTTTTGATCATGAGAGAAAATGAGAGTTGTTGCTTATTTTCACCTTTCTTAAATTGGATTACGAATTTCGTAATATCGGTATTTTCAATTCATTGTTTCTATGGGAATTCAGAAACTATTCGTTGCATTGAAATTTTTGCTAAAACGGAATTCGACTCTTAGTACTTTAGTCTTTAAGATGCATTTGTTAACATGACTTTTAAATAAATTTCAAGAAACTGAATTGATTAAAAACTCTTCAAAAATACATATTAAATAACATGTTTCAAGCGCTTCAAAAACAAGCCAGATATAAATCAGAAGAAGTGATTTGAAATATAAAACGGAAATATACATAACAAAATTGGAAAAATCACAGTAGCCAAGAGTGAAAAACAGAACAAGGGAAACCATTGAGATCTGCAGAGGAAAACCAGAGTAAAATGCATTTCCATGCACTATGGAGAGGTGGTGAGGAAATAATGTGTTTGAACAAGGAGCATTCATATGAATGGTTCCAGAGCATCAAGATGACCTCATAGGGTGGAAATGATTCTGGCATTGTCAAAATTGAATTTATGCCCAACAATTTGCATCTTCTATTGCTGCACACAATAATTTTTATGTATTTTCAAAGTTTCTAATCAGATAATGCACACTTTTGTTCGATAAGCATAATTTTTATGCAAATATATTTTTACATAATGATATAAAATATATATTCTGAAAAGCTAAAATTCCCTTACTTGAGTAGACAACAATTTATATTTCATATATGCAGGGTATCTGCTACACTTAAAATTTTTCAAATTCATGACTTTTCATGACTCATTCCAAGAACTTTTCATGACTTAACGAAGTCACTATTTTCGCCCGCCAAAAACAGAATAATACATTTAAAAAGCATTATAATAACATTAATTAAAATGATAGGTATAACCAAAACTGTTATACTCTGCATCTTCATATTTATTGATTTTAAATTTAAAAAACAGAGTAAAGAAAGAGTAGAAGCAATAAAATAGCTGAAGAAATAATAGCTGAACAAATATATAATTTTTTTTTCTGCAGAATTATATTCTAAAGATACTTTTCTTGTTCATCAGAAAGGAAAGAGATACTCCTGATTTTTCTGTTTTCATTTCGGAATTTTAAAAAAAAAATTGCCAGTGACTGGCTTGATTCAGCTAGAATTTTTAATTGATAACATAAAAAAAAGTAAAAATAATAATAATTTTGAAATCACAGAAGTTTAAAAGATACTTCGCTCTAGAAATTATGTTTTTTTCCTTCATTTTTTGAAAGAACACCATAATTTTAAAGAACATGATAAAAACCTTTTATATTATAATAAAATATGACTGTGAGTGGGGATTTTGTGACAAATTCAAATATTCGGAACACCATAAAATAGGGGAGGGATTCCATTATAAAAATAAAAATTTTCGGCAACCTAAATCCATGACTTTCCGTGATTTTTTTTCAAAAATAGTTAAATTCATGACAAATTTTGATATCAATACCGAAATTCATGACTTTCCATGGTTTCTCATGACTTTCCAGGTGCGCGGATACTCTGCATATGTAAAGGAAGTCTTGTTTCAATAAAATACATTTCAATGCAATGAAAATATTAATGAGTTATTTAAAAATATAAAAGTTCTCAATTAATGCAAAATCTCTTTGCGTCTACTACCTTGCCATCTTTGATTTTAAGTTTTATGGACACTTTTGAGGATTCACCTTTTCAGAAAAGGTGATTATTTTTTTGCATGCATTTATTTTGGAATTCTTTTCATACAATTTGTGGTCAAAGTCATCACTGTTTTCAAAATTTAATTTTGTTAGTTCAAATGAATGAAAACAGATGACGCTAAAATCTTTTATGAAACGTACATTCATCAAAAGTTTAAAATCTGACAAGAGTGTAACGCTAAACTAACTTTTAAATAACGACAGAATTGTCTTTGTAAAGAAAGAAAAAAAGGTGGATCATCTGAAACATCATATTTGTCAAATTCCTCTTATATTTTATATGTCTTGAAAGATGTCGTCAAGTAGAGTCCAAAATCGGTTTGTTTTTGAAAATTAAATAGAAAGATCGAGTTAAATCGGGTATGTATGGATTACAAATATTTATTATCCTGAATAAACTCGGGCATATCAAAATTCGCCAATACGTTTTTGTTTTATCACGTTCTTATTCGGCCGGAAGCAAAACAAAAAATAATCTGCTGTGATTGGAAGTTTGCCAATAATTTGTTTGTTGCTATTTGTGGGACTGCAGACGTGTCTCGTACAATTGTATATACGCGATGGTGGATGAACTTGCATAGAAAAAAAAAGAGTTAAAAAAATGGCATTTGTGAATGAAAGAAAAAGTAATGCAGATCATGTTTCAGATGATGAACCTATACAAAGACTCATATTTAACTTTTTTTATTGGCCCGAGATCATTTGGGATTGTAAACGGATGACAAATTAATTATTTTTTACGCATAAACAAAATTAAAATTTCAATTTAGAACTTGTGTATTATGTTTTGTTTTAGTTCCTTGTATTTATGAATGAAATAAAAAAAATAGGTTGCTTTTTTTGCATTTTTTTTTTCTTCAAAAAAATTTGTAAGGAATGTTGCTCTGGTACGCTCCTAATCTACTTTCTTATGATACTTTTTTTAAGCGTCAAATGCAAAATAAATTATTCATAAATATATCATGTTCAAAAATAAAATTGTGATCTCAAAAGTGAGAGAGAGTAAAAATCACTATTTAATTATCACCAACATTAAGTACCTTATATGCTTGTATTTCAAAAATAGTTAAGAAAAATAAAATACTATTATAATAATAATAAAAATAATAACAATTTTTGCAGAAACCTAGTTAAAACTATCACAGGGCAAGACAAGGTTGCCACTCAAATCTGGAGAATCTTTTGTTTTACCCGCACACAAGAGGAAAGCTTTTGTATGGGCTGTATTGGGATAACTAATACTACAGACAAACCCCACTACAGTGAACCTTCAGGGGGGACCGAAAATTTCGGTTCACTATAACCGGGAGTTCACTCCTATCCGTGCTGCACATCAACACATCTTTCAGAACTTTCTATGACACATCATTTAAATAAATGACCCTTCAAAAGAAATACAAAAATCAATATGTAGTAGTCACAAAAAAATGTGTTCACTTTTATTCTTATGACTCTTCGTCTTGGGTATACAAAAAATTTAGAGATGGGAAGCTGAGATAGAAGAAGCAAACACGAAAAAAATGCTTATCACTCAATAGATGGTTTTAAAATTCGGTCTATGTATTTTATGTAGAAATTTCAAAATGACCAAAAAATGAAGGGGAAAAAAATCAGTGGAAGAGAGAAAAAAGTTCAGTTTCCTCTCTTCTACAAACAATAATATTATGTTTGCATTGCAAGGCACGGGATTTCGTTCACTCTATTTGGGTGTTCACATTTGCCTGTATTTTTAATAGTTGGAAAAACTTATGAAAGAAGGAAACATACTTTAATGCGATAGTAAATGAACTAGTTTAATAGAGCTGAAATACCATCCTTAAATATCCCACTCGGAGTGATTACCATTTTTTAAAAGATGAAAGATAAAAGACAACATTCCGCGGTTTTTTCCAGTTTTTAAAGAAATAATCAAAATCCCCCGTTATTTCCTCAGGTTTTTATGGCAACCCTGTAAAGTTTACTTTTATCATGATTGCAGCAAAATCATTTTCCATACTATCTTCAACCCACTTTAATAAAAAGGGTACTCAATGGAAAGCTTTTCACTCTGTTAGAATAATAAAACAGCGCAGCAGAGAGAGCGTCTTTTGTAAGTAAGCGCCAAGTGTATAATAATACTGACATAGAAAAGGCAGCAGAGATTTACAAATAAATCCTTCAGTTTGGCAAAAGCAGTTGAGAAAGATCCTGAAAACAAGCAGATAATATGAAATGAAGAGTGCAAAATAATACACTGTGTGGCCAACAGTATAAAACCATCCTGATTATTATGATGCCTGCACCACAGCTGTGCAGTGAGGATTAGTTGACTACGATCTAATTCGTCCCAAAGGTGTTCTATGGGTATGAGAAGGCAGTTATTGAACACCCATTTTGTTATGTTTCCAATCACGGGTAACTAACCATAACAACCGGCGGGGGGGGGGGGGGNCCGGGGGGGGGGGGGGGGTCAGGTTACTTTTGGCCACATAGTGTAGTGTTCATAAGAAATATGGGTATGAAATACAGTGATAAGTAAAGTAGGCAAAATAAAAGCATATTCTTCAAAAGTATTTATAGAGAAAAAAAGAAATGTAAAATTTATGAAGAAATATAGCAAGAAACACATGTATAGAGCATAATTCAAACTCCATTCAAAATGAAGATTTTAAAAAAAGTAACAAAAACAATGCAGGGGTCTGTACAGACATTTTGTGAAAGGTTCGTTTTTGTAAAATTGTGAAAAAATGACTCATAATTTGTGAATATAAAATAAACATTAAGTCACTTTCTTTAAACCAGGGTCCTGCTTTTGTGAATGTGTGCAAATAGGGTCCTGTTATGGAAAAAAACTTTTTCAAGGAGTTTTTAAATTGTTAAGACATACAATATCGTGCTCAACACTGTAAAATTATAATTAAAAAAATTAAAATTAAAAAAACAGCAATTGCTGCTACTAAATTAGAGATGCAACATACAAATATTTGGTATTCAGCCAATACAGCTAAACACAGAATATTCATTTCGGACGAATAAAGGAAGAAACGTCTGCCGAAGACAAAACTTAGTTCGTTTACATCTGTCTTTCTTTTTTTCCTTCCCCTGGGAAGGGTTTATTCCATTAACAAAACAATAATGAAGATAAACAACTTTGTGAAGGGTCCGATTAAAAGAAATTCATTTTGTGAAGGGTTCGTTTTGAAGCTAAAATATTTTGTGAAGGGTCCGTTTTTATGAAAAGATATTTTGTGAAGAGTGCGTTTTTATGAAAAGATATTTTGTGAAGGGTCCGTTAACGGACCCAAATTTCTTCTAAACAGACCCCTGCAATGACTAGCTCAATAAATGGGAATCACAAAATATTTCATTAAACTTTACTTTCTTTGAAAATGGAATCAACTTTCTTTGAAAATGGAATCAAAAAGTTAAGGATCCTTACTATGCTATAGACTTATGCTATGAATCAAAATGTAGCTATACAGTTCTGAATAATACATTTTAGAAAAGGGGCTTATTCAGGGCCCCTACAACATGTATACTGTTTAAAATAGAGCAACAAAAATTTCACATACATGAAACTAAGCATTTTTAAAACACTTAAACACATTTTGAGTATTCACATAAAATGAAATGTTATTAAGATACATATAATTAGTTATAATCGTAGATACTTAAATTTAAATAATTTTCAAAATCTTCAAAGTAGATAATTAAAACAGTTTTAAATCAAAATTATCAATACTTAATGGTATACCTCCCACATAGAGGGATTCCAATTCTGAAAGAATGATTTAAAGGATTCTGGTTCAACACCTTGCTTCAATGTAACAATTGAAATACTTTCTGAATTTCGATCGCTCGGCTCGCACGACATGTAATCCTGTAAAATATTTTTATAGTTCAGTTATCACTACTACACTTAAAGTTGACTAAAACAAACTTTAATAAACAACTTAAAATAAACAACATTTCAAAAGTTGTCTGTCGAAATTGTCGAAATATAAATTCATTTCAATCAATAAAAAATCCTTTTTTTTTCATATGTATGCATATATATATAGTTCAAAATGTAGAGAAAACATGGAAATATTACAGGACAATGAAAAAAGGGAAAAAGAAAAATGATAATAAAACCCCCCCAAAAAACAGAAATTCCGAAAAGGGAAAAAAAATTAATAAAAATCCGGAAAAAAAGATATAATCACCTCCCACAATTATGTCTGCAGAAAGGAGTGCTTTCTAATATTGCATCAATATAGCCAAAGCAAACTATATCAATACAATAGTGTGAGAAGCACTCAAAAAAATTTTACTAAAAATTAAAGCACATTAAGAAAAAATATCACGCTAAAACAGAAAATAAAATATAAAGAAAAAAACAGAATAAAACATAAAACGAAATCTATAAAGCGAGTTGCGAATTAAAATGAACTTACATGAACGGGAAATTTTTCAAGAATGATTTAAAATATTTTCGTAACAAGATTGGCAGATTACAAAATATAAAAACAGAAGAGCAAATTGAGGTAAAAGCGTAAATAGAGGAGTTTTGTTTTATAGTGCATTCTTACGTTTGATGCGCTTGATTTGTTATTTACCAAGGATGGTCCCGAAAATGGATGTAAGCAAGGTAATATTATCCTGGATAATTGAAAGAAGTTGACAGTTAATAATTTTAGAAAATTAAGTTTTATTTAAAAAAATAAATAAATAAAGGAGGAGGAAACATAAATTGCCTGTTTTGCACATCATGGTAAAAATTATATAAGTTAACAAAGAAATTTTTTAGTATATTTATTTACAATAATATATAATTAACTCAATGATTTTATCTAGAATTTAATTACTTTAGTTGGGTATCAATTGTTTCTTTTCTTTTTGTCCCTTGTGTATTTATTGTATATACATTCATCTGCCTTATTTTCAAAATATTCATTTGAACAAAATAGGTATTTTAAAAATGTTAAATTAATCATAATTTTTTTTTCATGAGTTGTTTAATTAAAATCATCTGAGATCGGTGAAACCCTTAACTAGTACAATCATTCCTAATTAAAAAAAAAACTAAATTCTATTTTTGTTTGTGTTCCTTAATCACCACTATAAAAACTGCAGACAAAATTATATTCGCAATAAAGGTGAAACAGTCACAAAAAAGGGTTTCTGAACTGAAATGTTTCTGCAAATGAGACAAGTGAATCTTTGGTCATTCAGTTTACTGATGACACTTGATCCAATTATGACACTTGAAGGAGCTTTGCGGCTCCTTCTCAAAAAGATCCATTAGTAGCTGAACCTTACCTCATCATTTTCCTATTCCAAATTGAATGGACCTGCTTTCTAAATAAAATAAAAAAAATTCACATCTAGATTTAACCTCCGGTTTAATTAAATTCACTAGCAGAGACTGCTTTAGCTGCTTCCTCACATTTTACAAATTATAACCCCTTAGAATTATAACCCCTTAGACCCCTTATAATAGATCCCTTCTACAATTTTTCATTCAATATTTGTGTCATTTAATTTACAATTAAAAAAAATAGTGTTTTTTGCGTCTAAAGAAAAAATAAGTTTCTATTTCGAGTGAGCATTTCCGAGAAAAAAACCGAATAATTCCCTAAACTCATCCTCCCGCAAAGGAAATATATGTCCTGAAAATTCCTGGTTTCATATGTCACAGTCAACAGAATAATAAGGATATTTTTCTTTTAAAAAAAGTAAAACAGAATTAAACAAAATGCCGTAAAATGATATACAAAAAATGCATTTTGTTTAATTAATTGCAACAATTAAAGCAATATATAAGTAAACAAAAAAAATAGTAAAAGTTGTGTTCGCCTTATCACTGGCTACCCATGGGTCAAATGCTTTTTCCTTCCGAATGGACTTCCGTTAAACGCCACAACATTTCAAATCATGGGTTGAAAAAACTGTCTCCATTCATGTTTGGGTTTTCATATTTACGTGCTTCACAAAATACTTTTCCTTCTTCAGCATTCTTTATTTATATTGAAATCACCGTCAAGCCAGTCACTATACTTTAATAATAAAAATACTTTATATTATTATTATGTTTTTTTTTTTTTATATAAATGGCAGGCACTGAACATTATTTTTCGCCTTAGAAGATGCCGGAATTGTTACTCACTTCACGTTACCCAGTGGGCACCTGTGAACCAAAGTCAGGGAGACGAGCAACATTACCCACGCCACACTGCCACAACCCGTTTATAGGATGGGCCACATTCACACATCAGAGGACAACACATAGAGAGAGAAACATCCCCGCACAGAGCGGGATTCGAACCCGCAGCCATCGGCTTCGCAGTCGGGCGCGCCGACCACTCGACCGGCTATTAGTATTACGTAAATACATTAAAAATGCCCGGTGGTGAAAACAAAAAGGCAAAACGACGCACTCTCTTGAGCAAAATTAAAATGATATGACTCTTGATATGACTCTTGAACAAAATTAAAATGATATGACTCTTGATATGACTCTTGAACAAAATTAAAATTTGTGGACACCATCCAATCCAAATCAATACCCGTTTTGACAATGGGTAATATATGTATGAATAAATATGCATACATATGACTCACTCACACACAGATATATAGAGGGACAAATCATTCTAATTGCAGATAAAGTAAGATACTTCATTCAAAAGTGCAAGACTCTGTTCAGTAAAAACTCAGAGTAAAAGGTCACTATTTATCACCCGCATGTCAACTGTGAAATTTTTCTGAGTTAGCAATTTTTATACTGGGTGCAAATATTGCTTATTTCTGCCACTTTCACATACACATGGCATGCATTAGTAAAGAGACTCTAGAAAAACATATACAAGAGATACAAATTATTGCATTAAAAATAGGTATAAAAGCAATAGGTGGAAATATTCAAGTTGAAAGTAAGAACTGTTGCCGAGTTTACGAACGATACTCACAAATTCAGTCTATTAAAAAATAGGGTGATTTGAAATTCATGTGCTACAACAATATCATATTAAAAATATAGTGATTTGGAAAACTATGCAAAAAAAAGCTAAATATGATGGTGGATGCTAATAAAGGACGTCGAAATCTCAGAATTTAATAAAATGTGTAGAAACAGTAAAAAAAGTTAAACTACCCAAAAACGATTGAAAAAGGAATCGTCAAGGATACAGTACTTTTTAAAATCAAATTTGAAACTTACAAGTTGCATTAAAAAACTATGGATGTAAAAATACCTTGAAAACGAAAAATAACTGCTGAGATCAGAAAGTTGTGAATCGTGCACATAAAATAGTGACAACTCAAATTTGAATTTTGGGTTATGCAATTTTATATAGTATTAAAAATACCAAAGTTAGAGAAATCCTTTGTTCGGGTAAAGATGAGGATTTATGATGTCATTGAGAGAATCAAAAAAAGATAACAATAATTTGAAATTCCTGCATCATAACAACAACATATTAAAAATTTTGAATTTGAAAAATCACAAAATAAATATTCAAACCACCTGAAGTTATTTTATTTTGTTTTAAAACAGTAGTTGAACAGTCTGCCCAATTTATTGGTTTTTACGACTACTCCATAGCAAATGTTCAACTCTATAGCATTGTCATTTTGAATCCAATCCAGAAGACAAGGGAACTAACTAGATCAACTATTGGGAGAAATTTGCCTTCATGGAGCACTTTGTGATGAAACTAACCTGCATTTGTATTACATGGCAAGGAACCTCACACGGTTAGCTTGACGGCAAGGGGCATCTAACGCATGCGGATATTTCACGTCAGCACTGTGGTAGGTGCAAGCCGGATGTGGAATTCGTATCGATCAGCCATCGATGGGATTCGAATCCGGTTCACCTCATTGAAAAGTGAATGTTCTATCCACAGAGCCATTATGACTCTTACGGAAAAATTAGAAATAAATGAATGCACAGCAGGCAAAGAAAAAGCAGATAAGGGTAGATCGAGAAGAAGAATCTTATGTACCTGCTATTAATGCATTACAGTTAATTGCAAAATTTTATATAATTATTTTCATGGATTACGGATTACAAAACTTTAAACACAATTTACTCGTAATGAAACTATGTTTAACTAGTACAATTTTCAACCGATTCACTTCAAATTTTGACAACACAATAAATATAGTTTTTTAATTGGGTTGACTGGTTTTTAAGTAATCCATGAAAATCTAACTTATTTTATGCCATATTTTTTTCCAGTTTTTTTTTTCATAATGCCATCATTTTCTAAAAAGAATAATTACTTCTTAAAAAAAATCTTACGTGCTATACAAACTACATTTATGTAGTTTTAAAAAAATAATAAATAAACGAATTGGATGATTTTTCTTTCCTCTTGGGAGTGCACAAAATTCTGGATAATTTAAAAAATAATTTATAAAAAATGTAGTATATAAGAACTCAATTTTAAAACTTTTGTATTTATAAAATGAAGAATGAAACGAAATGTATTATATTAATCTACTATCATTGCAAAATTCATTAAAAAATCCTCTTTTACAGGCTTTTTCTGTGTTGAGAGGAGGCTTAAGAGATTTTAATAAAGTAAGGACACTCTATTGTAGAGGCTGTTAAAAGGTGGAGTTTCATTCCCCAATAAAACTGTTTCTTTTTTGATTTAGCTATTGTACAGATTATAAACCATTGATATAAAAAAACTATAGAACTATAGGGAAGAAACTATAGAAACTTAATAAATTACTATTGTGGAAGGCAGTACTGTAAAGATCACAATTTGTTAAGAAGAACTCTGGAAACTGTACACATTAGAGATACAATTAAATATTTAAGTAAAGGGAAAAAAACTATAGAAACTTAATGAATTACTATTAAGGAAGGCAGAAGAAAATAGGACCACCCTCCCACCCAGCAACTAAATTGGTTCATGTGATTATCATACACATGGTTGTCACTCAAATCTGGAGAAGAAAAAAAAAATTTCTTTACGTACATATTATATGCAATATATTAAAAAGGTAACACTCTGTGCTCTAGAGCGAGCTATATTAGGCTAGTTTTAATTAGTGGAAAAACTTAAAAGGCTTAACATACTTAAAACAATAACGCAGCAATAAATGAAATAGTTTAGTATAGCTGAAATATCATCCTTACATGTCCTTTGGCTGGTAACCACTTTTAAAAACGAAAATAAGAAATAAAATTCCCCGTATTTTCCCAAGTTAGTAAAGAAGAAAGAAAAATTCTCTGTTATTTTAGGTGATTTTTAAATTCCCTGTATTTTCCAGGTTTTCCTTGCAGAGCGGCAACTCTAATACTGTTTTAATTTCTCCTACATTTAAAAATATATATCAAATTAGACATATTATTTCAATCACAGTTACCTCAGCTAATTTATTTGCTCCACTCTTTTCCTCTTCATTTGCTCCCTTTCCGATCCACAAATAAACAATATCTCCTGCATCTAAAATCATGACATCATCTTCACACAAATCCTAAAACATAGATTAGAATTTACTTACAATTTCAAAATAAGATTGCAATGTATTTTCTAATGAAACACTTAAAATCGGCTAGTTCAATATCATATGAAACTTTACAAACAAATTTAATTGGGCATTCTTTTATTATTCTATGAAAAGAAAGATAAATTAAATATATTTTCTCTCAATAGTTATTTTTATTATAAAAAATGTGTTGCATCCACTTTTCAGTATTTTGAGCATGACACATACATTGTATCTATATTGAATTAATGTGAATAATTGTATATAATTTAAATTTTTTACAGCATTATTTTTTTAAAAAAATGTTTAATGACAGTTTAGAGGTACAGAATGAGATTTTTTTCCGTGCCTTTTCATCACTCTTTTGCAATTTCCGTTTTAAACTCAAGATATTTTTTTTTTAATTATTTTTCTCTTGATTTTCAAAATAAAATGACAAGTCTTTCAAAACCTCTTGAGTAAAATTGCACATCTCTTCAATTTTCATTTTTCCAGACCGGTTTGAAAGCCTGAAGAGCCTGGGTTTGATGATGGGTCGGGAGGGAAGATCACGTGACTTTGGATACTCTTCTTTTCCTCCCAAGGGTGACCAAAATTCTTCCGGCTCTTCACCCTCTTTTATTTCAGTAAAATTTCTGCAATAAAATCATTTTATAACAATTCCAAAAATCAAATAAATAGATGCATGGTAGAAAATATACAATTAATATTTGAAAGAAAAATAGAATTTATTAGAGGAAAAAAATCACTCAATAAATTTTTAAAAAGAATCACATATTATGTACTAAAGAGTCGGAGACAAAATGAACTTAAAAAATTACTTATCTTTTTCAATTCTTTTTTAACAATAACAGTATATTTACAATAATTATTGTTTGCATTTTGATAACATTTTCATTTTTGGGCCGTTTTTTATTAGCATTAGTCATTTTTAAATACAAGCTTAATGACGTTTTCTCAAAGCTCAAATGTTATATAAAATCACATCTTTTAGCAAATAATACAATTTTTATGCTTTCTCACTTCCTTGTTTGGGCTCATGAGAATTTGCAAGAGAAAAAAAGTTGAATTATTTACTGATTTTTATTAAGGGGAAATGCATTAACATATCTTTCACAAAATTATTCGCATGTATATTTCTTTTTGCCTATAAAATAAATCTCAACTAATATTCAAAATACTTAAAATATGCAAAATGAGATTTAAATATCCTTAAAGTTCAAGATATAATTAGCTTTAAAAACTATGACAATTATACTTAACATTTTTATCAAAATATTTATGCTTTAGTAAAAGAAATAATTTTGTTGGGATTTTTTTTTTTTTAAAGTTTCTTCCCTTTAAATTTCCTTTAGTTAGGTAGATAATTTTGCAAACAACTAAAAATTAAGTTTTCAAATTCAGAAATTGGACAAATTAATCATTAATGTATTCAACATTGCTGTAGTAACATTTTCCATAGCTAGTAAAATAAAAAATAAAATAAAATAAATAATAAAAAAAAGTCTAATATAATGTAGACAGTTCTAAAGTTATTAGTTATAACTCTATTTGAATATAGAAACTTAAACTTGTATGTCTTTTACTAAAATCCTAAATAATAGAAATTTTTAAAAAAGATTAGTTTTAAAAATAATTATTTTTTAACCTATCAGGTGATACAATCTTCATAATACTTCTTCCCATTGCTTGCTCTTCGTCAAACGAGTCCTAAAAAAATTATAAAAATATACCATAAATAGAAATCATTAAAGAGATTATGGTAGTACAGCCAAATCCCATTTTAGCAAATCCCTAGGGACTGAAGCAATCACAACGCAATAATGAAAATTCTTTATACCGATATTACAAATTTCAACATTAACCAAAAGTATTTTGTTACATTGGAATTTTTTGCAGAAAAAAAAATAAATATTGCATTTAATTACAGTTTACTCTACATGTAGAAAATAGCAACCAAAAATTTTAAAAGCTCACAAAAACATCCAAATTAAAAAGAATTTATTATCACTTATTTTACAGAAACTATGTAATCCATAATTTTTTTCTGTACCAATGATTTAAAACCAGTATAAATTACTCCTAATTATGCACATTTTCAAACAACTGAACTGGAAATCACTTTTTTGGAAAGCCACATGTATTTTTACTTCTTCAAACAAGAATAAGTTGGGGTTTCTGAGTGATTATTTTTTCTTTTTGACATGTCCTTCTCATATTAGATACTTTTTTATTTTGAAGATGCAAAAATACTCGAATTCCGAGATCATTGTGTACTTTTGAAGACTGGAAAAGTGTTTTGATCATGAGAGAAAATGAGAATTGTTGCTTATTTTCACCTTTCTTAAATTGGATTACGAGTTTCGTCATATCGGTATTTTTAATTCATTGTTTCTATGGGAATTTGGAAAATATTCGTTGCATTGAAATTTTTGCTAAAACGGAATTTGACTGTAATTGTTATCAGTGAAAAAAACTAAATTGAATATGAAAAACTGCAGGTGGCAAAAACAGTGAATAAGTTGCAAACTATTCCGTGCCACAAATTAGGGGACTGGGCCCATGTCCAAGAGGGCGTGGGTTTGATCCCCATCAGCCAAAGACTTCCCGTGCATTAAATGGTGACTGGTACACGCTAAATCTGTCAAGTCACAAAGTCCTCCACGTTCCCACAACATGTCATACCTCTGGGGGTACTGATCCAGGAGTTTCTTTGTCTTCTGGATTGGTTCAAAATGACAAGGCTATGGAACATTAGTAGTTGTAAACTTAAAATTGGGTTCACTGTTCAACGGCGGTTATAAAATAAAAAGATATCCTGACGTTCTTTATATTGGGTTTGAATAATGTATATCAATATTTTTCCTCATTAATAATGTATTTAATAACTGACAACAATGATGTTTATAACCGTATATTAACTTGTAAATAACTGCAGATGACCGTTAATTTACTTTGCATTTATTCATCCAAAGTCACATACTATAGGAAGCACACCCAAGTAAAAAGTGAATGGCAGAAGTAACACTTTCAGGAAAAATGGGATAATAAGAACGATTCACACTTTTAAAACACTTGTATGGATTTAATGAATATTGGTTTCATTTCACTGATTTAATGAATATTGGTTCACATTCTTAAATCATAGAATAAGTATAAAAGACAACAATTTTAAGTATGATTAAAAAAATTAAGAAAAATTTCCAATTTTATACCATTTCAAATGAGATGTAGAAGATATTGACCAATTTTATTTATCTACTTTGCGACAAACTTCTCTATGTAAGACATCGTTTCCGCATCAAAGCGTTTTGAAAATAAAACTTCAATCCTCCCTCACAACATTTAAAAAATGTTTGAATGTCAAATTCAAAATTTTTCTAAATAATTTAAAGCAGTTGAGACCAGGATTTAAACCTTTATTTTAAAAAAAATTTTAAGTATTTAGAATTTTAAAAATCTATATATCATACTATTTAAGAGTTAATTTGAGTATTCATAGTTAACAATATTTGATTAAAAAATGAAAATGTTGTTTGTTAATTTAATATGTGTATACATATATTTAGTAGGCTACTTGTTAATTTAGCAGCATTAATAAAATTTGATAATGTTATTTTATCAATTTTTTATACAGTTGAAAAATTAGATTTTACTATAATTAATTACAATAAAAATGTAAAGTTACATTTTTATAATTTCTTTAGACATTCATTAATTATTCTTTGTCGACGATAGTCCTGTTTCTGACAATCTTAAAATGATTCATTAACAAAAGAAAGAAAGCTAAACATTAACTTACAAAAGGAAATAAAGGCTAACATCTAAAATGCTATGTAATCAATAGATATAAAAACAAATTAACAAAGGATAACTAATAGAAATAAACAGCAAAGCTAATAATTATTAATGAGCAAAAAAACGAGTTAACAAGGAATCACAAAAAAATAACAATTAAAGTTAAAAAACAATTAAAAATATTATTAAAATTTTTTACATGTTATTTGTGTGAATATGGATTCTCAGTATTAACCAACATAAAAACGGATTTTCAGTGTTAACCAACATAAAAACGAAAGAAAAGAAAAAAAGTTCAAGACTGTTAAATGTAGAAGACAATATGAGTGTAGAATTGTCATTTTTAAGACCAACTATAAATGAAATTATTGAAAAACATCAAACTCAAATTTCTCATCAAAATTATTCTTGTTATTAACTTGTAATTAATCCCTTCATAAATATGCTTTTGTAGTACATATTATTTTATTTTACATAAAATTATTATCATAAACTAATTTACACAGTGTATTATAGGTAAGTAAAGAACTTGTAAACTTTTTTTTTCTTCGTGTGCCGTCAAATTTCAAAATCATTAACAGTGTGCCGCGACAAAAAAAAAAGAAGAAATGTTGTGAATCACCGGATTAGAATAAAAAATTTAGTTATAAATAGTAAAACCTGTCCAATCCACAAATAGGTGAGAGTAGGCGTTTCCAAAATAAAAACATCGTTGGAGTTAAGAGAGCAGCTTGATTCAGGAATCTATTTAAAAATACAATAAAAGGGGGGAATTAGAGTTGGGGGGTACTACATTTAAACTTTTTTAAACAAGGATTTTTAGAACATTGTTACTTAAATAGTTATTCCATTTCTTAAAAACAGACAACACATTTTTTGAACTAAGATTTATAATTAAATTAATTACCAATAAAGAATACCACACTTAAGAATACTAAAGAATACCAATAAAGAAAAAAACTGGATTTATATAATAATAGCGATATTGGAATTTAAAATAGTGTGAATATGAATCTCGATACTGAATTTTAAGAACGCGAAAATACAAATCGCGATATTGAGTTTTAAAATCGCGTGAATAGGAACGTGATATTGGATTAAAGAAAGCAAAAATACAAATTGCACTATTGTATTTCTGAATCACGTAAATACGAATCAGTATGCATGATTTTTTGATCCACTGAAAACGAATAGTGGCATTGGTCGCGTGAATACGAATAGCGATATTAATTTCGAAAACTTGTCATAACACATTGAGGTATTGGATTTTTAAATCGCGTGAATACGAATCGGGATGTGCGATTTTTAAATCGCGTGAATATAATTNAATCACGTAAATACGAATCAGGATGCATGATTTTTTGATCCGCTGAAAACGAATAGTGGCATTGGTCGCGTGAATACGAATCGCGATATTAATTTCGAAAACTTGTCATAACACATTGAGGTATTGGATTTTTAAATCGCGTGAATACGAATCGGGATGTGCGATTTTTAAATCGCGTGAATATAATTCACAATGAGTCACTTTCAAATCAGGTAAATACGAGAATCGATGTTTTGATATTAAAATCACGAAAATATGAATGGTGATATGAGCGGATTCCGGCCTAGTTTCAAATATTAAAAACAATGAAAATCTGACAAGCCAAAAAAAAAATTATTAATAAATAAATAAAAAATTTAAATTGGGGAAGAGTCACATGCATGAAAACGTCTCGTTAAAGCGATTTAGCGAAGGTTTCAAAATTTAGATTTTAGATTGTAAAACTTAGTTCTTGCTTTAAATTTCAGATTGCAATGAAAATGTTGTCGGATTATAAATTTTGATTCGCGGACGAATCAATGGTCTTGAGATACGCGTAATTCGGCGAAAAAATCACATGACCTGTTCCTAGACCTGGTGGATGATACACTTAGAATACAATGACTTCTGTTTAAAAAAAAAAAAAATTAAACCTTCTGCAGGTAGCTTACTGAACTATCATTGTAAAGAAATGGGGTTCTATCTAGAATATTCTATCTAAAATTCTATTCTATCCAAAACAACAGAAGAGAAAATGAGTGGACCATACTTTCCAATCTCACCTCCATGCCTTTAGCTTCCACATTTGAATGAAATTGTTGAGTAAAGAAATGCTAATTCCTCTGATTCTGTTCAAATTTTAAATTGTATATAGCATTAAAATTAAATAGATAAAAGCTTAAAAATTTTATAGATAGAAGCGGCATAAAGCCCACCCAGCTTCTGATCTGTAAGTACCAGCTTCTCTCCAAAGTAAACGAGTTCTACGCTCAATGCAGAAACAATCTTGGAGCCTTTACCTCCATGATTCCTCTGGCCAGCAATGGGCTGTGGTTGGAATGCTTTACTTTTATACTATTTTAAATATTTTCCTTACATAAAATACATTTTATGAAGATTCTATTATATGGAATTTAAAACTGCTCAGTCACTTGTCACTTATACGAATGGTTCGAAAGATTTTGATAACTTCCTTGGTTTTTTCCTCACTTAACTATTAGTTTGCGTTCCATAAAATATTAATTTATTCCAATTTCTACAAAGATTAAACACAAAATAAAAGAAGAGCACTTTAAAAACATTTGATCTCGAGATTAAATTTAATCTCTATAATTTTAAATGCAACCTCAATGGTTCGAGAGACTAACTTTCAATATGCTTACTAATATGTGCATAAAAGATAAAATTGTATAGATAAAGATGACATAAAAACATGTATGCTTTACAATTCAATATTTTTTTCCATTCTTGAATTTATTTTAACATAGAATATAATAAATAAACATAGAAAATTTATTTTTATTTTTACTGCCAACTCTTGGGAAAAATGATTTTCATAATTGTATGCAAAAACGAATTTTCTTTCCTTAAATAAATTTAGAGACGAAATATGCTAAATGAGATATTAGTAAGAAGGGCTTTCAACCAGATTAAACTATTGGGACCCTATTTTTTAGATTACTCCCATATTTTTCTCAAGCAACAAAAACTGAATGGGTTGAAAAAATAACACCTTTTTTGTGAACGATTTTGTAACTTAAGATATTTTCTGCATTTATTAGCAAGCATATTGAAAGTTAGTTTCTCAAACTATTAAGATTACATTTAAAATTATAGGCATTAAATTTAATCTCGAGATCAAATTTTTTAAAAGTGCTCTTCTTTTATTTTGAGCACAGTATTATTGTATAATCTTTGCAGAATTTGGAATAAATTAATACTTTATGGAACGCAAACTAATATTTAAGTGAGGAAAAAAACAAGGAAGTTATCAAAATTTTTCGAACTGTAGCGGTTAACTCATTTAATGTAATATTATTTAAAAGTGCAAAAAAAAACAAGAGAAAACTTTTGTATTTCCTTCTTTATTCCTCCCAGTCAAATCGCTCACTAATGTGATTACATATCCCCGGCGAAAGTGTAAGTAGTAGTTGTTCGGTAGCGCTTCAAGTTCCGGTAGCGCAAGTAGTAGTTGTTCAATAGGTGTCACTACCACGGTATGACACCCGACCTGGCAGAACCATTCGGATAAGTGCTGACATGACAAGCACAGTGCAGTTTTAAAAATTCAAATTATATATGTGGGGAGAGTAGTTACAGACCATGTCAACCTTCATCTATGAAAAGGTACCCCGACATAGAGTCGAGTTACGTCAAATTTATATTATATTCATTAAAACACTAAACTGCTTTTTCCTANTCATTGCTGTTTTGTGAGAAGCCGGGAGAGCTGTATTAAGATCACCGTATTTTTTTGAGTGCTGAATGTGAGAGGTGTATTAACTTCACTGTCGTAGTCGCTCCTATGTTGCCGTTAGCAGTCGAGTAATCACAAGTATGCAAGCCGACGTTGTGCGTGATCGAGACGAGACTGAGTAGCAACAGTGCGAGGAGGTGGATAATGTCGCAGTCACAAGTAGCAAGTCAACTGTTCAATGTGAACCATCCATCGGAGTAGGCGTTACTGCAGATGTAGGCGTATCCAGATCAAAGTGGGCGTTTTTGCCAAGGTAGGCGTGTTCACTTCACGTCCGAAGGTCACCATTGTGGGGAGAGTAGTTACAGACCATGTCAACCTTCATCAATGAAAGGGTACCCCGACATAGAGTCGAGTTAACATGCCTTATATACTAGTGAATTGTAGTTGTATTTTTTTAGTGGTAGATACGCTACAATATATAATAGAATCTTCTTAAAATATATTTTATGTAATGAAAATATATAAAATAATAAAAAAGTAAAGCATTCCAACAACAGCCATTGGATCATGGAGGTAAAGACTGTAGCAAGGTGATCTGCATTGAGTGTAGGTCGCCTTTACTTTGGAGACAAGCTAAGTACTCAACTCACCCATCTAAAGCTGAATTGGCTTAGAGATTGAACCTCCAGTTTTTTACAATAACAGATCTTATGGCTGGGATAGCCTGGTTGGTAGGGCGTTGGGCCCATGCCCAGGAGTTTGTGGGTTCGATCCCCGTCGGCCAAAAACTCCCCGTGTAGTGAATGGTGACTGATGCACATTAAATCTGTTTAGTCGCAAAGTCCTCTATGTTCCCGTCACAAATCAATACCTCTGGATCCAGGAGTTTCCTTGTCTTCTGGATAAGTTCAAAATGACAAGGCTTACGGAGTCAAACATCAGTAGTCGTAAACCCAAAAATTGGGTCGACTGCTCGACGACGGTTATAAAGTATAGAAATAAAATGACAGATCTTAATTAGAGACCCATCTCAGCAAACATCTAAATTCAAAACTTTTAAAGTTACTGATTAATTCACCCAATTAAAGTTCAAATGATCTCTTAAAAGTGTGAAATAACGAAATCAAATTGATCGGCAGCTTACTTGTTCAGCACGCGTATTGTAGTGGTTCGTTCCTCTCACTTGGAAAAGCCTCGTACCATCCACATCGTACGAATCGAAATCGTGGATATTTTTGAAACCACTTGCGTGACCACCTGACATTATGACCATCTGACCTTTAAAAATGCGTAAAAAATGTTCAGGCTCTTGTCCATGCACAACTCGAATCTAAATATTTAAAACAAAAAAGTAGGATGGTTAATTATGAAGAAACAGTGGAATATTACATAAACACACTTAATGTGATTTACTTATTTTTGCTGACAAGAGCAATACTTACATAAGATGTTTATCTCCCTATTTAAAAAAAAATTTTAAAAAGTAAAATAAAAATTTATTAAAAAAATTAAACTTTGTAAAATTATGAATGTTGACTAAAAAGTTGAATTTGGGAAAAGAAAGAATTTGAAAAAAAATTTTCTTAAAGAGTTTCAAAGATCAATAATTTTGAATGCACGAGATTCCAAAACAAATATTACTACTAAAAATTTTATAAGATAAATTAAAACGTAAACTTAGTTTGCTAATTGACATATTTTATTTAAACTTAATCCTAAAACTGGATGACTACAGTCAAAGTTAAAGCAAAAACGAATATGATTTTCTTACATAATCATGATAGCTTAGGGGATACAACGTTTGACCTACAGAAAAGGGTGGCCGGGGTTCGAATCCCGGCGATGGCTGGTCGATACGAATTTCACATCCGGCTCGCACCGACCACAGTGCACACGTAAAATATCCTGAGTGATAGACGGATCGAGGGTTAAAGTCCCTAACCATGGGAAGTTTTGGTGGTTTTCCTCTCCATGTAAAGCAAATGCAGGTTAGTTCCGTCAAAAAGTTCTCCATGAAGGCAAATTTCTCCCAATACTTGATCCAAAAGTTCCCTAGTCTTCTGGATTGGGTTCAAAATGACAAGACTAAGCAGTAGAACATTAGTGGTAGTAAATCCCAAAAATTGGGTCGGCTGTTATAAAATAAAATAATTCATGGGAGTTGGTTTGCGATTTGTTTATTTTTGCTAACAAGGGATGGGCTTAAGTAAATGACTTCATAATAAAAATAATAAAAAAAAACAGAATTACAATAATCAGAAGAAAGTTCCAAGTAAGAAAAACTATAATTTTAAACAGTCACATGAAATAATGCTAGCGAATGACTATTTTCATAAGTGAAGCTATGTTTAGTTTCTATGTTAATTGCAAAAATGATGTAATATGTGGAAATATTTTGTGAACATAAAAAGCAATATAATTCCTTAAAATAAAATATTAAAACGTTATGTTGCCTTATATGGGCCCATACAAATTCTAGAATCACACATTGCTTTTGATAATTTTCATCTAGGTGAAAAAAATCTCACTAAATTGGGAGGGTTTATATATATATATAGTTTAATGGCTTCTAAAATGTTTAAGATCCATTCTAAAGCTTAGATAAGATTGTGCATTTAGTTTTGCCTCACTTAAACTGTGGATTTTCCTTGACGAAAGAAAAGAAAAAGAGTTCAAAATTTTAAACATCAACAATTTGATGATATTTCATTATCTCCTCAAAAATTTTAGTTGTGCCAACAATTTTGTAAAAAATAAATGAATAAACAAACAGTAAGGCACATTAACTAATCATTATACAACAGCCAGCAAGTCACAAGATTGGTGTCTAGTTTTAGATCCCAAGACTCAGTTTAGACCAGCGTCCACAGCCCACTAGTTAATGAGAAAATATTTAAAAGCATTTAAAATATAATTCTTCCTTTTTGTTTATTTTACGGAGCACACACACACTATGGCACTAAATATTACTTTAAAAAAATGATTTTCACATAGACAGATTTTGTGATTAGTTGGCTAAATTTGATGACTTAAAAAACTCGCTAAAAAGTGTTATTCCATATATAATGACAGAAAAGAACAATAACCTGTACTGCATTCATATCATTACTCATTCTGACAGTCATTATTGCAGCAGTCGCCCTTTCATCTTGAGTGCTTGATTGACCCTAAAAAAACAAATTCTCTTTCACTAAATGATGACACACTGAAAAATATAAAAATAATTAACAACACAGTAGATTTGAATTTTGTAAATTAGTCTTCATTATTTACATGCCTTCAAAAATGTAAAATAAATAAATAACAGAAGTCTGAAAATACCTAAAATAACACAAAAATAAAACATTTAAAGGAGAAACACGCTTCTCTAAAAAAAAAATTTTACTCTTATGTGTACAATGGCAGTTCAACGAAGAGTTAATTTTTACATACTTGTATAAATCACAAATATAAAAAGAATAAAATAAAGTAAAACAACACAATAATAAAGAAATGTTAAGAATTCTTCTTAACTTTAGAAAGTTGGAAGATGTCTAAAATAAATAATTAAGATTTTTTTTCTTTTTTTTAAAAAAAAAAAGGGTGTGAAATAATATACTAAAATTATTTTTCTAAATTTGAACTTTCACAATTACAACTGTCACTTTCTCCAGGATTCTGAGAAACTAATGCAAAGATGGTAAGCAAGTTTAAATGACTTTCCAATAACAACATTGACAAAAATAAAATTAAGACTGGTAGTCATAAAAGCATATTCAAGCATGGGCGCTACTAGTATGAGGTCATTTTAAAATGCTCGATCAAGTGTTAGAACTGAAATTCGGAACTATATATATCTGTTCAGGGGATAGAGCGTTCTGCCTTCCACAGAGGTTAACCGGGTTCGAATCCCAGCGTCGGCAGGTCGATACGAATTCTGCATCCGAGTCGCACCTAACCATGGTGCTGACGTAAAATATTTAAACATTTGAACTAAATTTTTAATTCAATTTATTTGAATAAAATTTTTAAACATAAATGTAATCGACGATTTCTCGAAGCTTCTAGACCTCAGATTTCCGGATCACTGTAAGCAAAAAATCCGGTAATCCATATTTTTTTCGGAGCATAATCATCTCTGTACTGTAAAATTAAATTCAAATGAAAAGATGTAAAGAAACAAAATTTACATTCCTTTTATAAAATTTTGTGCAGAATATTCTTTAGAAATCTTTTGCGCTCAAAGCTCTTTCCTTGAAGAATTTTTTTCTTTCAGATTTTCACTGCACACACACCCGTGACAACAAAAATAAGCATATCACAAACCTCTTTTGATGTAATATTGGCCTCACAGTTGTTTACAAATTTTAATATTAAGTAATTTTTAAAAGAATGCAAATTAAAACCAAACAGTAAATATTTCTCAATAGATTTTTTCAAAAAAGAAATATAATACGTTAAAATGCATTTTAAGAGGCATAAAGGATTCTTATTTGCAGTGTATTTCCATGCATATGTACAGTCCGTGACCAAATTATTAGATGCAAAATATGCTTCGAGTTAAAATTTTAATTATCAGATAATGCAGCACAGTTTTATTGTTCTTACCTGACTGAAACTAGTTTGCATTTCTTTACGCCCATGTATCAATTGGTTAAATTAAACGATATATTACATAAATATAGAATATATATTATATCAGGTATTATATTAGTATATGTTATAATAATTAGACGCACAGTAATGTTTTAATAATGACATGTTTTGCACGAGGTTGCATGCAATACTTTTATATTCAAGCATACATGTATTGGGTTTTTTATCGGAGGGTTTTTCATATACTTCCCATTTGAATTTATCTTTAACATATTGCATTACAACGTTAACCAATTGATAGACGAACGTAAACAAATGCAAGCCGGTTTCAGTCACGTAAAGACAATAAAGCTGTAAAGTATCACTTGATAATTAAGATTTTACATAGAATCTTATAGTGCATCTAATGATATAGTCACGGACTGCATATCAATTTCAGTGCATAATCCAGGGTTGGGCTTTTGATATCTAAAACTGGTTTTTGACATGACAGGTAAAAAACCTATCGAAAATTGTCAACAACAGTCAAAAACCTTTGGAAAGTTTCTCTTACGTGATGGAGGTCATTATATTAATAATTAAATTATGCACATGTATTTCATGCAAAATATAGCTAGAATTACTGGTTGGTTGGTGTCGTATCCTCTATTGAATCATATTTCATGGTGTGCTTGAATAGTTTTTGTTATTTCTATGGCATTAAAAGAATACAAATCCTCTTCTGTGGGGTAGTTTAAGAGGTGAAGGCCTGCAGCGACTGCAGGGCAGTTAAAAACATGATATGGTGTCAGTTCCACATTAAGACAGTTGCCACAGTTTTGATATTTTAAGAAGACTAGAATTACTGAAACTATTAATTGGTTTTCTAAAAACATGGTAATATTAATATTTTAAGATCAATATTATTTGTTACATAGTAATAACTATTCAGTTCATATTATCAATCTAAATATTGATTTTAAATCTTTTATGCCCCAATTTCGGCAGATTGTTTTAGCAGGAGAAAAACTAAAGTGCTCCTCAAAAGTTGACTGATGTCAAATTGTAATTTTTTTTTATTCTCAATTTTTGTTTTTAATAATTTATGGGTACATGAACATTGCCTATAAATTATGGTTATAATATGTCCCCAGATAAGTAAACTAATTATAATTTACAAAAAAAAAGTATAAATGTTTGGATGAATGAGCTAATAATTTTTTCAAACAATCAATTAAAATTTTTAATTAAGTTATCAATATTTAGAATAATTATTAGAAAAAAAATGTCCCAATTCATGCTATTGTAATACTATTGGTACGTCTTTGTCCATGAAACTCAACATCAATTGAAAGTTTTGTCTCATTCATTTAAAACTGAAAAATAAATTTGGAGTTTGAAAACAATCACTTGCTTCATGGAAAGGAGTTAAAAAGGGAATAAAGGAAAAATAATTTTATGCAAAATGATTGTTAAATATATATATATATTTCTTTTATAAGATGATTGTTTTATTTTCAATAATGAAACAAATTAACAAATTGGATGAATTGCGATTTTGCACATTTCTACTTTTAATTATTTAACATTTATAATAATAATTTTTAAAACAAAAAGAAAGTTTATCGCCAGAATGATTAAAGAACATAATTGATTGTCAATTGAACATAATTTATTAATCACTTGTAATTTTAAACCTACCTTCATTTATAATTACTTTATATTTATAATAGCTAATAATTACTTTACACCAAAATTTTGTGTTTTTGATAACTGTCAAAACTATATCAAAAATGTTATAACCATGGTTAAAACTGGCAATCGTGAACACCTGCCAGCTAGGAAGGTCCTTCCCAATTTTCCTTTACTTAAATAAAATAAGTCCAAGACATGTAATTAAACCCCTTGTCTTCTGGGAAGCATTGAAAATTTCAAAGTTCAGAGAGGGTACAATTGCCCTCTATGCATTCTAATTGACAACTATGCATTATTTTTATTTGGTAGTTAAGTTATGAAGAATATTTCAGGAAGAAACAAACATGCTTTTGCTTACATACAAATATATACCAATAAAAATATTCATTTATAAATTCTTATGTACAAATATTTTGCTTTAAAACAAATTTAAAAATAAAGTCTTGGGTCATGTAAATTTAAATATTTAACATTAAATATTTTTTACATTTAAGAACATTTTGTTAGAAATAATAAGTTCTAACAAAAAAAAAATCGTTTCATTGTGCGCATAAAAAAAGAATTTATTACAACAGTCCAATATTTTATCCTTTTAATCTCACACTAATTTTCATGCCCCCTTCAGAAAATTTAGTTATACATCTAATCATTCTTTTTGTTCAGAGGCATCTAATTATGCACACACTTCCGCAAACTGTTGACGGTAAAAAAAAAACATTTTGACAAGATTTAGGATGCATATAACATTTTGATTTACATAGGAATGTGTGAAAAGTAATTATTTTTTTTACAATAATTTGTACAGGAGTACATTACGACTACCTTTTCCAATCTATGAGTGGATTTTTTTGCCGTACTTTATTTGAGTCTTCAGAATGTGAATGGAAGACGACAGTTTTGATCCTCTACTGTGCTTCAATAGACCAGCACAGTTTAACGAGAACCGCTTCCTTGCAGACTGATCACCCACCCCCTCACTCTCTGATAGGAACTGTATCTTTACGATCAGTTCACTTTCGATTTGCAAATTAAAACGGAATTTGACTCACACTCCAGTAACATGAAGATTAAATGACAATTTAAAAAAAAGTAATCTAATCTATAGTAAATTCTTCAAATACATCAAGAATTTACCCGCAAAAATTTATTGACCATTTCACATTATTAGATCTTAAAGCGTTGAGTATAAACATTTCTACATTTAAATTATTAAAATTTAAAAAAAAATTTTTAATTAGTTGAAATTTTTAGAAAACAGAATTTTATATTGGTTGCTTTTTTATTTTTGTTTTTTAAACAAGTGTGAATTCAAGGTTTGGCTTATACGCTGAACGCACACGAAATTCCTCTATTTTGGAAGTAAAAACGAGTGGGTGGACATATAACACCAGATAAACCTGTACAATAGAAAATACGGAATTTTAAAATTTTGTGACAGTTATAATAGTACAATATAAGATCTATAAAAAAAAGAGATAAAAACACACTTACAAGCCAAAAATACAAGATACAATGTGGTGAAGAATTTGTGCACATGTATTTTACTATGTAACAATCACCACCAAAAAATATTCCTTTTTGAGACGATTCAACAGGCACAATATCAAAATTATCCACTCTCCATATCTATCAAAATAACAGTTCAATTTAATTAGAACACACTAAAGAAACCTATAATTAAAAATAAATGAATAAAAAAACAAAAATCTATTTGAATTACGCACTAGAAAGCCATGGATTTACGAAAAATAAATTTTTCGTGTTCATACGATAGATGAATGAAGAAGCTAACATAAAACTGGCAGATTTTACACTGCACTGATATTTTGTTTAAAAAAAAGTTCATTAAAGAAGGAAAGGTAAAATAATATTTCTGTTCGATTTGGGGGCCTTTCTGGTCCGGAGGAACTGCCCTGTATGCCTTAGTCAGGCTGTGAGCAACAGTATTATTGTAATGAATGATGAATAAAATCCCAATCATTCGTTTTTGAGGATTTCTATTTTCTTCCTTTGTTAGAAGTGGACAAATAAACAAAATAGTAAAAACAAAATAGTTTAAATAAAACTTTCAAGCTTAGTTAAAAAAAAATTTGTTCCATCATAGCATTGTTTGCATATATTGATGTAGTACATAACATATCGGATAAAAGAAAGTTCTATCAACATGAAATAATTACAGTCCCCCCCCCCCATTTCAAATTAACGTGGTTCGACTGTATACTACAGTTAATAAAAAATATTATAGACCAAACCATATCTGATAATTTCCAGGAATAATAATTATTTTTAATAAATAATGAGGGAATGACAGTAAGGGAATTTCTTCCAAAAACTATTTTATTAAAAAAATGAGTGGTCTTAGGTACATTCTTAAACAGTATGGAATGTTAATAGAAGCACATATTTTTTAAATAAATTTTTATTTTTGTTTATTAATTTCATACTAAATGAGGAAATGACTTGTAAAAATATACTTACATTGATCTAATGCTTAAAAGCCACGTTCTTAAAAGCAAAAATGGTTAAAAATGTATTTATTTATGTAATTTTAAAAATTTAAATCTCATAATTTATTATTTCTTTGATACCTAAACAGGCAAACATTTTTTTAATATGCATTTTAGTATTTAATTTTTGTTTTTCTTAAAGCAATGTTTTTAATCAATATGATCACATCCAAAAAAAAAGGAAGAAAAACTCATTTTTACATTAAATTTGACCATGACTAGCTATACTGCTGAAATATCGGTTGGAGCTCAGTGTCTGATGATAAACATTTCCTACCAACAGAAGAATAAACATTGTTTTTTTTTTGTTTTTTTCTTGAGTGATTTAAATTTCTGAACCCCTTCTCCAAGTTTAAAAAAAAAGTTCAGAATACTGCCTTTTTTTAATTTTTTTTCCTTTTTAAAACTTAGTGATTCCATTTATATAATAGTTAGCTTAATTTCACTTTCTCATTTCTTTAATACTAATTATTTTATAATGTCTTTAAATAATTAAAAACTAAAACTCTGCGTTTAGTTTATTTTTCTAATAACGAACAAAAATTTTGGAATATTTTTAAAGTCTCAAGTTTTTATTTCAGTTTTAAGCATTAAATTTACATTTGTTTTTTTTTTCATTTTTAAGTTATTAGGTGAACTGGAAAGCTATGTCGTTTTCGATACATTAAATTAAAAAATATATTTTAACAAGTTTTTTGCTTTAATCAATAATCTAAATATCCACGTTTTTGAAAACCTTTTTTTTATACAAGCCTGCAAAATTTTAATCAATTGATAAATATCAGTGGTAGTTTTTAAAAGTCTGAAAAAATTATGATTTGGGGAGAGAGTTCTCCAATCACCCAACCAATTTGCCCGACATTGCGCTATCTACATATTCTGACCGCTACATTTTCAGTGTGACAAAAAATTTTAAAATATGGATGATATCCAAAATGCCTTTTTCAGTTATTTTGCTCAAGAAACAATTGGTTTTTATGAATACTACATTTAAACGTGACAAAAGGTTTCTGATGATAATTAAAACCTGACTAAAATAGATGCATAGAAAATGGAAGCTTATTTTTGAGTATTTGAAACTTGTTGATTTCGCATTTTCAATTTTTTTCAGCAAATGGTATTTTTAATCAAGTAATATCTTACCGCTTCAGTTTAAGATTATTTAAAAAACTAAATAATTAAATAAATTAATAATGAAATTTCTCAATTTCTATGAAGTTTGTTGCACGTTTCTTTTGAACTTAGCTTTCCCTCTCCAAATTATGTATACTTAATGATTTTTGAGAGAAATTTATTCATTTCATGCAAAGATCGCAAAAAATATTAAATAAATGGGCACCCTACCTAACTTTTGATCTAATGGTGGGATTTCCACGTTCTAAAACTCAATTGCAATCGATCGAGGGTGCGACTTCAAATATCTTATTAATGGAATTACTTTTTGATAACCAAATTTTATACAAAAAAAATTTTATTCGATCAAAAGTTATCAAGATATGGTGGAATACACAAAAAGTAAAACTAACAGTCCAAATGCTGAATCCCTCTCCTGACCAAATTATTGGAACCCTATTTCATTGAAAAAAAGGTTATGTTTATTCCGAGAAATCACGCTCGTTGTGACTGATTTCGGAATATCGTAAACATTTATCAATTAGCCTATTTGTGATCACCCCCTCTAATTTTGACACTGAGTTCAGAGATCCAATAATCCTACATTCTGTGAGTAATTATTACAGAAGAAATTTCATTATTTCGCTCTGTAGAATAAAGTACATTATATAATTAGTTTGTACCTCATTTTTATAAAAATATACAAACTGCAGTTTTAGACTAATTTTTAAAACTGTAAGTAAAATTTATTTTACACCACGTTCATATTTATTATCCTTCATGGTGAGTGGGTGCCAAAAATATTTTTACTTACACTCGAAAATTAGCTCGGACCAGCCCTGGAGAACACATTTCGAGGCAATAAGAACAAAACACTCAAAATCACTAATGAGTTGTAGTAGAAGCAAATTATAACCGGTTCATAATTCAACAGAATTCAAAATTTAGCTGATACATCAGAACGAATACAAGTATAAAAAAAACGGGTCGAGCTCACAAAAAAATTTTTGAATTTATAATAATGATAGTAAATTCAAAATGAAGGAATTTAAACACACTTCATGGTTTTAAGTTCTGAAAGACATTGACTGAAAAGTTACTTAAGTAAAGACTTTCTCCCGTAACAATTATGCTTAGTATTTAGGAAAAGTACCCACATTTATTAGTTAGGAAACAAAAAAGGCACTTTTTGATGCCCAATAAAAGTTATGAAGTTTTTGTAAACATGCATTTCAAGCTATATCTAAATGTAAAATTCATCAGTGAAATACAAAATAGACATAAATTACAGCATAACCTTATCTTATACTCGTAATTTATTAACAATTGTTTCACGAATGACATATTTGATACCTCGACTTCCCCCGACCCGTCGTCAGGCATAAAACTCAAAGCTTTTCCAGCACTTTTGGATAGCAGTCGGTGTTTTGCATTTTCATAATCAGTCGCACCATCTGTAAGCGATTCTGGAAAGAAAAAAATCAACAATCAGTATCTTAAAAAATATTAGGCAAAATTTGTGATTTTAAAATGCTTGTTATCTTTTTAGATAATAAAATAGTTCTCTAGTTTTACTACTAGTTAAAATAGTTTTACAATGTAATAAAATAGTTTACTATGAAAAAATAATAAAATAAGAGTTTAAAACTACTATGTGTTTCAAGTAGACTAAAAAGAGAAAATAATTTTGGTTTTGTTCTGCATAACACGAAAAACAGAAGGCACATCAAGTTCAAAATAAAAACGAGGATTTTTTGGATGTCAAAGTCAAGTACAAAAGTAATGTGCTCTTCGTTTTTTGTTTTATATCTGACCAAAATAAAATTATCTTCTTCTTTTTAGTCAAGTCATTAGTCTTAGTCTTTAAAAAATTTATTTTATTCTTTTCTTCTTTTGGTATAGTGCTTTTCCGTTGTCATGTCAACTTGTCACACACAATTTTGTCAGGATGACAACAAATCGTGGACACGATACGTCGTAGTCAGAATTCCTCGTGGACCATGGGTAGCCCAGTGGTTAGAGAATCAGACTGTGGTCCAGAAAAACTCCACTAAAACCTAACGAGTACATGCAATTTACCTGCTCGTAAAATCTGTGGAATCAAAAGTCGGGCAGCGATATGTGTAATACAGGGATGAGGAGAAACTTTCCTTCCCCTTCAGACCTATGTCTAAATAGAGGAAGACACCTCACAAATGACTGATGTTGCCATCTGTTGGTAAGGTTCTGAGATAAGACGTGTGATAGTTATCACAAATTAGGAAAAAATAGGGATCCCACAAATAAGCCAATCTCAAATAAATTCGATCCAATAAGAATTGCACTAAGTAAATTAGTAATGTAGTAATGGAATGACATCATCTACAATGAGCGTAAAATTGTATGTTTGATCACAAACCTGAAATTTTTAACAATGGCATCATTTGTCTGTATGACTGCACTTGAGATCTATTTGCAGGACAAATAGCAAAACCATTTGGAGTTTTTCTTCTTTTTTTTTTTAAATTTTGCTACCACTTCAGGGTGCGTAGCCAAATCTTTCAACAAAAGATAAGCACCTTTTAAGAACTTTTTAAGCACTCAAAAGGATATTTTTAAGCACTATATACATTAACAAAATGAGAAATAGTTTTCAAAGACTTTACATGATCATTATAAAGTAACTAGTTTCAGACATAGAACTCTTTTCTTGATTACATTAGCCACCATAAAGTGATCGAGAGACTTTTCGGTTCGATATCAGAGAATGGAAAATGAAGCCTGAAATTGAGAATATCTTGCAAAATGCAGCAGAGTTGCACATGAGACAGAGTTGCACAATCTCACCGAACCCAGCTCAGTAGACGCACATGCGGTCGTAAGTATTTCATCAAACATGTAAAATGATGGGCGCTTTCATACGCTATGGACTGACTGTAGGTCGAAATGGATTGTGGTTGAATGAATTGTGAAAACGTTGAATAGAATAATGTGAAAAGCACGCTTTCGCATAATTCGCGGCGAAAATCAACATGGTAAAGATTAAAAATCTCATTTTCGAAAAGCGAACATTAAGCACTTTTTAAAAACACCCAATGAATAAAGCATCTTTAAGGGCTTTTAAAAACGAAATTCGAAAATAAGCACCTTTGAGCACTTTTTAAAAACGCTATTCACCATTTTAATGCAACCGAAATATCATTCATAAATATACCATCCATTGCACTTTGAGTGATTACCATTTTTTAAAAGACGAAAATAAGAAACTGAATTCCATGTATTTTCCCAGTTTGTAAAGAAACTGTTATTTTAGGTGATGTTTAAATTCCCTGTATTTTTCAGGTTTTCCCTGTGGAGTGGCAACCCTGATGTTGATTTCAATAACAAATAGTCAAGAAAAGAAATCATAGGTCAACAAAAGGCACATTCCTTATAAGTGCATGGATGAACCTTCTTTAATTAGGAAGAAGGTAACTTAACCGGTGTTCACACACACATTGCTATATTAAAGTAAGGGGTCGAAATTGTAAAATGGAAACGATGCGTTGATGCTAGAAATGAATAAAAATGTCCTCGTCTTTTCACTTAAACGGAAAAAATTTCTTATACAGACATTATAAACATTAAATTTTTTAATATTTGACAACTCTTTAACGTCTTGCCAGCGCCACCTGTATCCAATTTGGGCAACTTTTACGTGCATTATTTGTGATGCCCTAACTGACTTCGGGCAGGAGAAAAGTGAACGTTTCTATTTTGTGAAGGCTGAGTTCGTTTCTACTTTAGGATTCACTATTTTCCTGATAGATGGCTCAGTTTTCCTAGTTCTTCACCGATTACGACTTCAGTCGAGGGAGAGAAATGCGGGTGGGAGTTTGGGGATATACCATATGGTAAAAGATTTGTTAAATTAATGTATAGAATATCATATTGTTGTGTTTTTATACTACACCGAAGAGCCATTACATTAGACCACCCTGCCAATAACATATAGGACCACCTTTAGCCCTCAAAACTGCTAGCACCCGCCGTGGCATTGATTCCACAAGGTGCTGATAGGTAGTCTGAGGTATCTGGTACCAAGCGCTCAACAACTGGTCCTGCAATTCCCTCACATTGCAAGGTTGTAGCGTGGCAGTATGAATTTGGTTTTCCAAGTAGGACCACATATGCTCTATTGGATTAAAGTCAGGTGAATTTGGGGGCCAAGACATGACTTGAAAGTCACTGGAATGTTCCTCGAACCAATCCATGACGATTCGACCCTTACGACATGGTGCATTATCCTGTTGGTAAACACTATCCCCCGCAGGAAAAACTTTTGACATGAATGGGTGAACCTGGTCTGCAACTATGTTCAAGAAGCTTACAGACGTCAGGGATTGTTCTATAAAGATTATGGGTCCCAATGTGCGCCATGAAAACATTCTTCCTGGGCGAGAAACCATGAAAACCTGGGCGAGCCCATTGTTATAGATGGAGAGTGGTCATAATGTAATGCTCTTCATTGTATATTATACTAGTAATATTATATTTAGCTTCAAAATTATTTTTCATTTGTTCTCATTAAATAAGATGTGTGTGTGTGCAATCCATTACTTTCTTATGTGCATGTAAAAATTATAAATACAGTAGTTATTACATTTAAAATCTTTTTTTTGTAATAAAAAACCATTTTCTAACTTTTATAATAATATGAAGAACAAAAGTCAAAAAAATGTTTTCTGAAATATATGAGACCCGTTATGGGGTTAAATTAAAATAATGAAAACTCACTCTCTCTTTCAAAGGTTGGTTCCCTCCACACTGAGAAATAGGACTTAAATTCAGGAGTTTCAGCTTCGTGGACGATTCTTTGAATAGGAAGATAATTGGGATAACTCTTCTTTTCAATATATTTCTAAAAAATAAAATCGAGAATGAACTTAAACATATCTGCTTGGCAAAAATGAGGTGGACTGACTCTATCTGAAAGCTCTATTAAAATAACATGAACACATGGAAGAATACTAATAGTGTTATCTTTGTGACTGTTACCCGCATTCATTTTCAAGCTCTGTTAGATAATTCAGTTTTAAATATTTCTTTTACACAAATTCTTAAGCTGATGATAAGAACCGAAGAAAAACAATGCATTCATTGATATTGGATTACCTCTATTCATCTATGTATTTTCCCGAAGAACAAAACAGAGAGACCTCTGGATTTTTATACACTTTCCACTTACTTATTTAGATTTTATCTACCGCTAACAATATTGACTATTACAAATTGTTCAGCAGAAAATGCTCTAATCAAAACTTATGATGAGAATCGGCATGCTCATAGATAAATAATAAAGCCTGGAAAAAAGAAACAGAAAAAAAAAACACAGAACCATCACAACATCTCATCATTGAGCCTGAATGAATTAAAAATCATGAATTAATTACTTTAAAATTTATGAATACTAGCTGGGTCCATCTTTTTAAATAACCTCAATCATTTAAAGAAGAGTAAAAAAATCAATACAATCTCTCTTGCTAGAGTGGATTGCCTCTTACATCATTCAGATCTTCTGAGAAATTGCGATGAATTTGTTATTAAACTGTTCATAGCAAACACCTTTAGGCAGTATTATCTCAAGAGTTGGGGGGGGGGCTCTCTCCCTCCTATATTTGTGCGTGCGTGCGAGTGTGTGTAACATAGAATGCCTCATGTGAGTCCTTCCATATTAAATGATAAGCTTAAAACATATGTTTCTTATCAATTTTAAGTTGTAGAAGTCGGCCTCTCGCAAAGAGCCATAAAAAGTCAAGATAAACCAGATAAAAGATTATTTTCTGAAGTTATTGAGCAATAATTTGTAGATGAAGCACGCATTAAGATAGTCCCAAAAACTTCCCAGCGTCAGAGTGGCACTATCCTTTTAGCGAATCAAAATTTCTCTTTTTCATATTTTCATGGCTAGATAAATCTGTGCCAAATCCCAACATCTCTGCTATGGAAAACCATTAATGTAAACGATGCAAAACTCCAGAGAACAATGTTTTCAATACTTAATATAACTTAATAAAATGCCTTTTTATCTGAATAAACCTAAGTCTCTTAAATTATCTAGCCTCTAAAGGCATATTATTATGTGTGTGCATATATATATATATATAAATTATTTTTAATTACTTTAGCTTACATATGTGTTTCTTCAGCATTTCAACGATGAGCTTTCATATTTTTAATTAGGTATTTCGTTTTTCTCAATAAAGTATCGACATCTTTTCTTATTGTAGTAATGCGGTTTCCATAATAGCGCAACATTAAAACGATGAAAAAACCCTTTGTTTAAATATTGCATGTGAAATAACTCAGCGCAGAAGGATTGAAAATATAGCAAAAAGATACTAAAAATATTAGCAATCTGTAACAAAAAAAAAATGCTGTGCCAGTCAGTGAATTCATTAAAAAGATATTAAGGAAAGCTTAGCTGATTGAGATAAAATAATTCATCATTTATGTAAACGCTTTTAACTCATCATAAGGTTAACAACCAGAGAGAGTATTACTAATTAAAGCATAATGTACAATCCCCCCCCCCNCAAAAAAAAAAAGTTCACCACCCTGAATAACTTTTGAACTAATGAAGGGATCTCCACGTTTTAGGACTTAATGGTACCTTAAATATGCTAATCAATAGGCATAGACGATTTTATAAGTTACGAAATAAGACACAAAAACATGCTTTCGCTTAATAAACATACTTATTTTTCAACAGATTTGGATTTTTAATTTCCAAAATATAGGGGGTAGCAGCAATCTGGGAAATAGGGTGCCCATAGGGGAAATAGGGTGCCCATAGTCAAAATAGGGTGCCCATAGTCAGGAGAGCAGTCAAAAGTTTGAACCCCTTATTGTTAATTTTACTTTCTGCGTATTTTGCCAATCTCAAAAATTTCTTAAGCAAATTTAAAAAAAATTGAAAAATTAGAAAAAAAATTAAAGCGAAATTTGCTGAATGGTTCCTGAGAATTCGAATTTTGAAAAAGTCACATATTTGTAATTCAATTTCTCAGAAACTATTAAACCGATTCCTCTGAAATTATTTTGCTACGTAAAAACTTCATACTTTAAAATTACGTAAAAATTGTATACCCTACAATTCAAAATTTTTTCGACTATTACTTAGTAAAATAATAAATATTTACTTAAGTTTGTTTTTCACATCTTTGGATAAACAAATTCATAATTGTGTGAAAAATTTTTCAATCCGCTTAAAAAGTTCGCGGGATACAGCAAAATAAACAAAAAGTAAAATTAACATTAAGGGGTCCAAACTTTGGATCATTCTCCTGACCAAACTATAGAGACCAAATTTTCCAGATTGCAGCTACCCCCTATATTTTGAGGGTTAGAAATCTGAATCCATTGGGGAAAAAAGGGTAAGTTTATTTAGATAAAGTACGTTTTTGTGCCTGATTTTGTAACTAAAAAAAATATCGTCAGCACTAATTAATTAGCATTTTAGAGGTAAACCCCTCGAACCATTAAGATTGAGACTTAGAACGTGAAGGTCCAATCATTAGATCAAAAGTTATTTATGCTGGTCCTTTTGTTGGTGCACTGTACATAATTAAAAAATGAAATATATAATTAAAAAAATATTAAATTTTAAAAATTTCTTTTCGTCTACTTCGAATTAATCCCAGTATATAAAAAAAATTTTTTTTTAAAAACATCTACTCACATTTGAACAAATGTTTAATGACAGTAAATTTGGACTGAAGGGGGGGGGGCATGAATCAAATCGATCGTTAAATTGATATAATTTTTAAAGATAGCAACACATCACCACTTTCTATGTCAGTTTTGCCTAGCAATCTATAACTTCTCAGTGCTTTCTTTTTCTTTTTTTTCAATACTTTTTTTTACAATGTTAATTTCGTCTTCTGAAAATAATGTTTTGTAAAATACTTTGGACGATGAATCTAATTGAAAAAGATAAGATATCGCAAAAAAATTATTGTTTGTATAAAAATTTATTATATGGATTTTTGTTGCTTGCAGGAATCAGGGAAAGATTTTTTAAATTCAGGAGGAGATGTCTCCATAAACCTTTGGGGGGAGAAAGAAACCCCTGCGTTGAGTAGATAGATGTTAAAAACCTTTAACACAAAAATATTTTGAACCTATTAAATATTCTTTATATTTCCACAGTCGACCCAACTTTTGGGTTTAAGACTACTAATATTCGACTCCGTAGCCTCGTCATTTTCTACCAATCCAGAAGTCAAGGAAACTCCTGGATCAGTATCCCCAGAGATTTTGTTATAGGGACATGGAGGACTTTGTGACTCGACAGATTCAAAGTGCACCAGTCCCTATTAACCACGCGTGTCTAGTATTTGGTTGGCGAGGATGGAACACACGAGCTCTAGGACGTGGGCCCTACCCACCAGGCCTATTAAATACGAAAGTATCGGAATGACTGTTCACCGACCTCTATAAATACTTTTAGGCAAGAATGAATTTAAATGAAACATCGCAAAACAAATCACAACTGAAGATGAAGACCGAAAGTGAAACAAATCAAAGTGATTTCTCAGAAGTGATTCATTCAATTACAATAAGAATAAAGTACATACATGAGCAAAGTTCATGGCTCCAACTCTCTCCTGGCGACTCGATTCTTTTCCAATCCAGACAAATAAACCGTTCATTCCACCATCCAACAGAAAACAATCCTGCTAAAAAATATCTAAAGGCTTTTTAAAAAGAAATTACTGAAAAAAATGATTTGTAAAAATTCTAATACATTGACTGCAAAGAAGCCGTAGTGATTGAATTTTCTGGAAAAATTTAAGAGACAAGACTTTTCAAACATTTTATGACTCAAAAACGCTTCAGCGTATTTTATTCTGTCATTTAAAGTTGCGTAAGTTTAAAATGACGTAAAAACTTGTATGGATATGGTTGTCTTGAATGTAAACAATAACAAACTTCCTAAAAGTGGAAGAAATTTAAAAAACATCCCACTTAGAAGCGATATGCAAACAAGCTTCTATCTTTTTATTGCAATTTGTGTTTAAATTTATGTGTAAAATTCATAAGAGTTTTCTGTCATTTAAAAATTCTAACAGATCGTGAACCCAAAACAAATTTAACAAAATTAACATCACAGCATAAAATAGGGTCATTTGTTATTTCATCATAGTAAATTTCCGAATTCATTTGTTGTTCGCTTCGTTGAAAGGTAGATTGAAAGAACGCCTTATATTGAAAACACTACTAGTATGGATGGTGTTTTCAGTAGAAAAGTAAACAATAACAATCTCGAGCTCGGGACCTACTCTAGTTCCGGTTAAAAAGTTTGCAGCTGCTTACTACATGTTATTCTGATAGGCGATGTTTTCAAACGGATAATTTTGTTTTCAATAAAAGAAATAAAGTAGATAATTTCTGAGCTCAAATCTGCTGTATTTCATAAGATATTAATGTTATTATGTAATTCTGGGGAGTTTGGAGTGAAAATTTGTTTTAGTTATTTTGTTATTTATTATTAAAAAAGGTGACATGGTTGCTAGATTTTGAATAACTCGCTTTTTTGGCAGTCTTGATTTGGCCTCTTTCCATTTGTTTATTACTGTTTGTTCGTGTTGCAAGCTGTGCACCATCTTACGTTAGTGTTAACACTTTTAGTATTGTAAACACAAGTATTTTTAGCATTGTAAACATGAGTAATAAGTAATCAAATGCATTGTTTGCAAGAATCTCAAAACACAATGATGCCAAATGGCTTTAAAATACAACTGAAACAGTAACCCTGAAATTTAAGCAGTCCCGAGCTTGCAGCGCTCCCTAGTGTAGAAAACACCATCCATAATAATATTGGATGGTGCATTTTTTTCAAGCTTAGATCGTAAAAATCAATCTGCCCGTAGCTTTACGTGGTCAACCAACCTTTGGACTATGGGATTGACACGGTAGGTGTTAAAATTCATTGTAAGATTGATTTTTATGCCTAAGCTTAAAAAAGTACACGATCCAATATTAGTGTACTTGAAGTGTTCTGTTTCAACAGAACAGACAACAAATGAAGATTCCGCACAATGCAAACAAAATATAACACTAGTATTTCACACACAAATAACAACATGGCTTCTGAAATTTGCTTTAGGCTCACAACCAGTTTAAATTTGTAAATGAAATTTAATAATAAAACTTCCTGTTCACACTCATAAGCGGACCAGTGGACCATAGTTTTGCTGTATGTTTGGAGGGGGTTACTGCACATACACCTGCCAACTTGCACGCTCGCTGAAAAAGATTTTTTAATAATTGAACTCATTAAAAATTTAAGAGCTAAGTGAGCTAACAAATAGATCATATTTACATATTTTTGAATTACTGATTTGTCATGGTAGACTGAAATGTTTCTTTAAACTTTAAATGGAAGATTTAATACGTCAAAGAGCTATAATGTTGCTACTACAAAGAAGTATCTTATATACATATATATTATGTTGAATTTTATTTAATGAATACATATTTAAATTAAGAAAAAAATGAATAATGAAAATTTTATGTGTCTACATCTTCTGACCTAACAGAATAGCTCATTAACGAAGCAATATATATGATTTCGGTTTTTATCCCCCGTACCCTCCCTAAAACTGGGTGTTCTGAATTCCTTCCGGTATTAGGAAGCTTGTTATAGCTTACATTCAGTCAATCATCCATTATTTACGAGAAGCAACATTAAGAATTATTTTTTGTATCTTGTGTGTTAACAGTTTGCCCTTCAGAACTGAATTTATACATACTAAAGAGAACATATATACGAACTAAACGTCAGAAAAGTTCCTTTATTTGAATGATATTGTAATGGAATAAGTAAAGATCCCGAAGGGATTAATGCATTACGATATTAACATTAACTCTCTTGACTAAAATACATGGAATATATTTTCCATCCATTCTAGGGTCCAGAATCAGTCTGGAAAAAAAATATTTCAAGAGAACATAAGTGTCTGAATTTGTAACTTACTCATCAATAGTTAGAACAAATTAATTAGCTTATTTAAGAATGACCTTTTGAACCATCAAAATCTTTTAGTAGCTGAAAATGAATGACTCAAGGGGATTTATTTTTGTGGCTTACAGTACAGTTATCTCAGGATTACTTTTGAGTCTTTCATTACTTGAGAAAGGAAGTAAAGAATACTTTCTTTCACACATAAAAATTAATTTTAAGGTGTTTTTTTTGCCCACCCACTACAGATGAAAATCAGAAAATTGAATTTAAACTTGTTTTCAGTTTGTAGGGGAGTCCTAATCCTGAGGGTGTCAACTATGCAGGATTAACTGTCCATTTTTATATCTCTTTTCATAGGATTGTTAGAAAAAATTCGACTTACATCGTTATTTAAATATTCCTGTTTCAATGGCTGATAGGCTATGCATTCAACTTGAAGTTCACCACATTCGTCTTCTGAAACTCTAATCAACAAATAATTCATTTCATCAAAGCAATATTTCAAAATAAACAATATTTCAAAGCAATTTATTTTTAAGAGGGGATTCATTATTTTCTACTTGTTTAAAGTGATACAGAGTCCAATCATTAATCCATCAACATTTAATTGTGGTCCACTGATGATGAAAACTTTTGCAACAGATTTTCGTTTATAAATACACCACTCAAGTCCAATCAAGGGGGGGGGGAGTTCAGGGTTCAAACCCCTCCTCCAAACATTAGTTGGTTATTTTAATTTTTCTCTCTTTTTTATGCTAATAGTTTAAATATTTAAGTAGCTTCATTTCTTAATAAAAGTATCTGTTTAAATACTAAAACAATGTTAAAATAGAGTTTTTCTCTTGATTATGAACTGGATTAAGAATGCAATTTTATTGCTTCCTGTCCTTGTTCATTTATAGTAGGGATTGAAAGACTATTCTAAAAGTTGTTTCTCTGAGAATAAGATAAACGGTCATTCCACTCTATTTACTATTATCTGATCCTTTTAGTACGTTTTGTTGCACAAGGGGAGGCAAACTTAAAGCCTGCTTAATACTTGACTCCTAGAAAAACCTTCTAAATATTTGTGCCGAAATAATTCAGGAAATCAGAAGAAAGCAAAAATATGTTTCACAAGCGTGAGAATACTCTAATAATTGATTGCTCAACAACTTGTGAAATCTGCATTGGAACTGTTCAAAAACCCTGGTGTTACACTTTTAACATCAATGTGTGAAAGAATAGATGCAGATTTCATGAAAAGTTACAAAAAAGATTAAAGTGAGCGGAAAAGAGGATCATTTGGAGCCCTTAATACATAATTTTTTGTCCAAGAAACGAATATTCAAAACAAAATCAATATTAATTATTTTCAACAGAAAGTAAAAACAGTTTATCTCTGATCTTTCCAAACTATTACTCTGACGAGTAAGACCTATGATATGATTTTCTACTTTTAAATAAATACGCTTAATTTTAGTGTCCATGAAAATCGAATACATAATAACATATCATATCATTAATAATACAGCCTGCTATGGAATTTCTGACTTACCTGTATAGGCCTACTTTACTATCAAAATTGGTTACAAAATCATCATCATCCGCTACAGCTTCAGCAACGTCAGTCATACTTCCACCTCCTAATTGCTCAAAGAATTCTGACGCTTCATCATTATCATCTATGCATAAAGAAGTTTTAAAAAAATTGTTCAATCAAATTCAGAGATGGAGAGCTTATTTTCATTTTTACATTGATTTGTAAATTAAAAGAGGACAACACATATTTGATATTCTTGGGAAAACTAGATGGAATTTGAAGTTATACATCGAATTCCCTATATTATGTAAGAAGTATGACTCTTTGCCTATCATATTGGTTGCCAACAGGAAACAAATCCTTTTAATTGCTGCATATTATTTTACACATAGGGAATTTTAGAGATTTTTATAGTCATCCATATTGACATGGAAGAATATCAGCGAAACACAGCAACCAAAACGGAAGTATCCAGAAACAAATTACAGAATATAAAAAAAGAAATGAGAAGATACAAAGCTTAACAACTCGGCTTGGAAAATCCCTTAAATGGGTCAAAACAACAAACATATGCCAATTCATGGTACACATGGACATGGGCAAGGCTGAAATTTTCGCAGATAGCATTGAGAAACGATTTTCCCTGAAGGACCATCCAAGCAACATAATCTCTGAAAAAGAAATTATTGAAGAATAGGAAAACCAATCCAAAAATCCTCTAATCACCATTGAGGAAACCATGCTGGAAAAGATTCTCACCATCACAAGAAATTTAAAAATAACAAAGCCCCTGGTCAGGATAAAATGACGAATATTATGATCAAAAGATTAACATTTAATAAAATATTAAATATCAGCACAATAATAAACTCCTGCATTAAAAACAACTATTTCCCACGAGACTGGAAAGTAGTACTTTTTCCGCACCTTAATCCGGAAAATGACAGAACCATCAGCTAACTTACTGTCTTCTCAAAAAATTTTTGAAAAGATAATATTAAAAAGACCTTCTTCTTAACATACAATTTGGATTTCGAGAAGACTTATCAACAACATAAAAGCAACAGGTTCGAATCGTCGAAAATATTTCTCAAAACTTCCATAAGGAAAAAGGCTAATCTATAAACTCATAAAAAATAAAATTCCACATTTAATGCTAAATCTCACAAATAGAACTTTTAACATAAAAGTAAACACTGTCATATCAGAAAATTAAAGGCTGGTGTCCCACAAGGGTCCATTTTATTCTTGATTTACTGTGTCGCAACATTCACTAGTAACAAAAATATTATGAATGCATTCTACGATGACGCTTTATTCTAAGTAAATCGATATGCCCATACACAGCTGTATCGAAGAATGGTGATCTAAATGGCCTCATCATCAAAAGAAGTTATATATATAAGAAATTAATTATCATCAAAAGAAAGAAGACAAAAACAGATATTAACCTACTACTGCAAAGTATTTAGGAATACACACATCGAAAACGCCATAGGGAAAAGCCTTGGATGCAACTCAAAGCACACTTTATTTACAGACCCATCATAAGTTATGCTAACATGACACAAAAGAAAAATTGAAAACAAAACTTTTTAAGAAGAATTACAGTTCAGATCTGAGAAGAGACTTAATCATAAATGAGCTTACCTGAGCTCATCTTTTTTCACTTGAATGTAATACCTGCCATGACAATAGCATTTTCAATCAATGACAGCACTAAATATAACCCTGTCTGTCCGACGGGACACCCTCCAAAAAAAAATATTGCAAATAATGTGCATAGATTTTTACTTTATCTTCATTGTATCTCATCTCGTTTTCTTATTATCATTATTTAGTCAGGACTGTTAGTGGGGAGCAGGTCTCCAGGACATCGGGCACTCCAACTCGTATCTGTGTGTATGCAATTTCTTAAATAAATTTCACTCATATGGATGATTAATATAGTTATAGGCAATTATCGCTTCTTAGTCACACTCTTTACATTGTTGAAAGTTTTAATTGTTGAAAGTTTTTTGAGATATATAAATAATGATTTATTTTTAAAACTTGTGCTTATGACTTTTCACTGCTACTCAACTTCTTTCCCGCCTAAAGTTCCAGCGCAGAGGTGACAGAAATGAATTCTGGCTAAGACCATCCGGAATATACACTCCCTGCCCAAATCATTCGATGCACAATGATATTCTATGTCACGTGATATTATACAGCTTTACTGTTTTTACACGACTGTTGCTTACGTTAGTGTATCAATGGGTGAAATTAGACGCTATATAACATAATTTTGACGATAGGATAAATTAGACGATATTATATATAAATATATAATATATCAGGTATTATATTATTATAGCGTAATAATTAGATCAAATTATTAGACACGCTGTAATTTTTTTTCAAAAATGACATGTTTTGCACGAGTTTTTAGGCAACACTTTTAGATTTATATGTAATGGGGTTTTCATAGAGGAAATTTTTTATATACTCCCTATTTGTATTTATTTTGAACGTATTGCATTACAATGTTAACCAACTGATACACGAACGAGAACAAGAGCAAACAGTCGTGTAAAAACAATAAAGCTGCATAGAGTATCACGTGATAATGAAGACTTTAGATAGAATCTTAGAGTGCGTCTCATGAGCTGGCTAGTGACTGTACACGCTTGTAAAATCTGTGGTTGATTGCTGAGTAGTACGGGGCCCTTCAATCAATCCCTTCAAATCCATTTGTGGGGTTCCTAGCTAAGAGGTGCTCTCTTGTCGAACTATATATTAAACGCAAAAGGCTAGGTTGAGTATTAGAAAATAAAACAACAAAAGCAGCCACTTTACAACGAGAGAAACTTCCATTGGTATTTTAAAACTTAAAGAGCTCAGGTAAATGAGGAATGCTAAAAATCTCAAAAAGCCATAAATTGTTTAGATTTTGAAAAATGTTTTCCAACATTTGAAGGTTTACTCTACCTTCAATTCATTCATGAAAGTCATTTCATAAATTGTATATAAAATAAATGTCAAACTTGCCGATGATTTTGACGATGCTCCGACCACAATGGATGTCGTCACGAATGGCATTGGCGGCCTGGATGGCCTTGATGCGTTCCATACGACCACTCTGGTGACCGACAAAAACAAAGATGGTTGGACCATTGTCGAATATGAAGCAGTCCCCATTATTGAGTGAGGAAACTGCAACAGGTACTTGGTGTAATCGAACATTCCTCCTTCCCTTCACACGCAGCAATCGTTGAACTGGAACATCCACAACATGATGGAATCCAGACTTCACACCTCCTTGCAAATACCTACAAATACCATTACATTCATAATCAAGTCGATTCCCTGCATCATAGAATAGATTGGATTCATTTTTGAATGCAATTTATTTTAAGGAAAGGAAATCCTAGTACACTTCAATAAAATTTACAAAACATTATTTTGAATTTAAGGCATCCCCAAAGCCTATCAGCTTGAGAGGACATTATACCAAAGGAAAAATGACACATTTACAAAATGTTATTTAGAATTCCCCAAAGCTTAGCAGCTTCAGAAGAAGCTATACCGCTGGAGAAATGTTTCCTGGAAAATGAATAAAATTATATTTATAATTTAATACATTCGCAAAGTTTATCCGATTAAGAGGTAGTTATAGTGCGTGGTAGAAACCCGTCCTGACAAACTTATAATATAATATTTAGAATTTAAATGCGCGACGTCAGTAAACTCTAGTGAGTCGTCCATAAAAGTACGGTACTTGTTACAGTACCGTGGGATTCTGAGCAAGTTCCCGAGCATTGTTTCCTGCTCAGTATTCATCCTAATGATGTGTTTTAACTCCTCTAAAAGTTTGTCACAACACGTGTGTGACCCTCCGTTATATACTATTTTTATACTTGTACATTTCGAAAAAAAAATAGACCAAAAATTTCATTTTAAAAAAAAAATCTATAGCTTAAGGAGCAACACTCATTTCAGATCATGTCCCCCTACTGAGGCAAGATCCATTATTTGTATGAATGCAACAAAAAATGTGTAGAATTACAATGATTACTCATTAAAGTATATTTATCGCTCATTCACAATCCCATTTGAGGTCAACCTGCAAAACTAAGTATGTAAAAACCCAAACATTAGAGTGTCATTATTTTAATTTATTATTCTGTCTCACGGGATGTGTTAAGGAACATCTCAATTTCTTTGGATGTATTTTTTCTTTTCAGCTGTGTCCTATCAAAAACTGGTGGAAAGTCTTCCCAAAAAGCAAGACTATGCTGTGATATTAATTTTCTTAAATTTGATTTAGGCTCTGTTAAATTACAAAAAACTCTTATGGATAATAAATCACTACAATATAACTTCCTAGAAGCCTGTTCACACACACACATCGCTTCATAACATAAGTGTAGGAATACACAGGAAGCTTACATTGGTATAAAGAACTCCCCTTTGTCTGGGCGGTGACTATAGTAACGAGGTATAACTATTTCAAGTAGGCGTGCGGGGTTTACAACAAGTTTTGGCTCAGGTCGGGGAGAGAATCTTCGGTTAGCTCTAGAGTGAAGAACCTCCCTGAAATGAGCCATTCTTGTTTCCATAGCAGCAGTTGGCCTCAGACTTTGCGGAGGGGGAAGTTCTTGCCGTAGACAAACTATACATAAAAAGAGAGATAATGACCTGATTCCTTTTTTGAAATAGGAGAGGAAGAGACTGGATTCGTGATTCTGCACTTCCCTGTGCTGCACAGGACTTCCTCCCAGTGAATCGTCCAACTCAACACTCTTAATAGCCGCAGTTCCAAATTCATCCTAAGAAGTGGTCATTTCTCAATTCAGAGTGGGTAAAATTTTGACACATTCCACCAATAAATAAAAAGATCTTAAAAATCTAATTCATTAAGCTAAATGAATTTCTTTTTGTACACAAATCAATCACAATATTACTTACTAGAAAAAAAGTTGACCTATAAAGAAGCAAAAGTTATGATTCCACATTTTTAATGAGCTTGCATTTTGTTCATAAATCTCGCCATAAAAATTTCGACTACTATACAACTAGCTACAGCACTAAAATCTCAACTGTATTTCCCCGGTAGACATTTAGTGGATTTAATTTAATTTCATTTTTTTNTTTTTTTTTTTTTTTTTTTTTTTTTTTTTTTTTTTTTTTTTTTTTTTTTTTGACTGACTGATTGATTTGGTTGCAACTGGATTTCCAAGAATGGCTATAGTTCTGAAATTCGGAAGGAAAAAAACTTAGCAATTACTTACAACGAACGGTAATTTAAAGAAAAATATTAAGTACCAATAAAAATTAAACAAAATAGTTTAGTATATTATCGGAAAATAATCTACGTGGTAGCTTTAAGAAAGAATAAAGATATAATGAAATAATTAGTTGGATAGTTCTGTGAATCACACGTGGTCAGATAATTAAAAATTTAATTTCGCAGGTAAGATGTTAGGACGACATTTAAGATACTGAGATTACTTATGATGCTAAAAATTTTGGCTACGTATTTGACAGCTTTTTATGTTCTGTATCTTTATACCTCTTTGTAGTGACTTATAAAACATCAATACTATTTCAGATAATCTATGTTGAAGTCACAAGAAACAAAAAAAACAAAAACAAAAAAAAGAATCAATAATTTATCTTCATTTTTTTGAAAAAATAGAATGCTTAATAAGAAGTCAGCTGTTTTGCATCGAACAAATTTCAAACAGAAGGATGTTTTTAATTTCTTGGCAAGATTTCATTCCCAGCTAGCAGGCAATAATTGGCAATAAAAGTTTTCTTTTAATAAAATATTGAGAATAATTTAAAAAGGAATTTCACTGTAAAAGAAATCCTAAATTAAAGTACTAAAAAAAATCGATTTGTATATTAATGAAAAATTAATATTTGTGGTTATGTAAGGAATAAGATTTTTTAAAAAATTTTAAATTTAATTAAACAGTTGGTAAAATAGTAAAATAGCGAGGACAGTTAATTTACTTTAAGATTAAAACGATATATTAGATTCAATGTTGAGAAATTTTAAGATTTTAAAATTTTTTACTGCGTTTTTGTATTAAGAATTATGAAATATATATTGAAGAAATTGATAAATATATTATTCCAAAGCAATGCATGCATATGTATATTATTGAAATTGTATCAATTATTAAAAAAAACAAACTAAAAATAAAATATAATCACATTAAATATAATCACAATATGATGTATAATCACATGCTTTTATAAAACATGACATTCGTTGAATAAAATGTTTTTTATTCAATAAAATGTTTTATTCCAATTTCTTTACTAAATTAAGAATAAATTTTCAGACAACTAAATTGTTAGAAAAAATTTATAATTAAAATCATATTTTTATTATATTTTTTAAAATTCTAAAAAATAAGATTAGTGGTCAGTCAAGTTCCTCGTAAGTTAACCACATTTAAATATTAATCGCCTCATTTAAATATTTCTTCCCTGTCTCCAAATTATTTTCTATTTAAATTCATTTTAATTTTTCTCGGCTTCTACCAAATAAAAACTGTTGAAACTTAAGATTTTGCTATAGTAAAATATGTAGATTAATATGGTATAAAAAAAATTTATACCTCATAATTCAAAATTTTTGCATCCTTAATTCATATCAAAAATAATTATTGAAAATTATTTTCGGCATGAAATTATCTTTGGGCAAAATGGCTTTTATGAATGATTAAAAAATTTTAAATTGCTTAATTATTTATAAAAATATGACTAAAAATGCAAAAAGTGAAATTAACATTAAGGGGTGCGAACTTTGAATCGCTCTACTGACTATAGGAACCAAATTTCCCAGATTGCGGCTATATTTTGATGAATCCAAACATGTAAAAAAAATCTACGTTTATTCAGAGAAAGTACGTTTTTGTGTCCGATTTCGTAACTTAATTAATAGTTGGCTCTCAACAATTAGCATATTTGAGGTCACCCTCAGCAACCATTAAGACTGACACTTAGTAATCCAATATTAGAGAGAAAGTTATTCAGGGTTCTTTTTTTTTACTGTAACATCAATCCTAACCTTGACAGGAAACAGTTAAGAAATTTCTCCATAATTTTTTTAAGGTCAAAATTCAGACTGGCCATGATTTCATAATATATATATATATATATATATTTCAGACATAATTCATGAATGATGGCTCACTCACTTTGATAGTCCGAAAACCTACGTAATTAGAACTTTACGATAGAACAGTTTAATGATCGACTTCACGCAATCTCGACCTCTTCGTTGACAGATCAAATTAGTCACCCACTCGCTCACTGACAGCTGCCAGTGATGCTTTGTTTCNCTTTTTTTTTTATCTCTGTCGCTATGTTTCGCAAACAAGAGACAAAATGCGTGACACAAGATAATAAAATATCGGGAGTCCCAATAAGTCTGGGATTGAATTACGCAATCAAATAAAGATTGGCAAGGAGATGAACGCGTTTCCAATACCTAACTGGATTTGCTCCTCAGATAATTAGCCAAATTGGCGAAGTTTATTGGTTTCACGTTATTAGAAGAGAAAGAGCGCAAATCTCGGCCAATTACGCTCTCTTTTCTTCGATCCGATGATGTGAGTGGCCAATCGGTGGTTGTATTCAAACTCCGCCTACTTCGCGTCTTTTCACCCAATGGAAATTGGATTGCTGTTGTGGAGAAATGATGTAATAGATGCTGGAATCAGATCGATTATTTTGAACCATGTGCGGAAATGGAATTTTTCAAGACATTTTTTTTTAAACATTAATTTATATTTTATTATTAAATGAACTTAAATTCTTCAAATATGCATTGCTATTACTATTGAGTAGTATAAATTTTATAGGAAAAGAATGAATGATTTCTAGATTTGTAGAATTTGTTCAAATATTGAAATACCACTTGAAAAAAGTTCAGTTAAAAGTAACTACTATTGAAGACCGTTCTAATGTCTTTTCTCCTTATTATTTAATGATAAAATCTTTTTTTGTTTATCATTTTTTATCATCAATTTGTTTTTTTTTTATCATTAATTTGTGTATCATCAGAAAAAGCTCTTTTCCTTGCGTTTTGACTAAAAGTGGGGTTATACAGTATACTCTCGATATCTCGAACTTCTATATCTCGAAAACCTTATATTTTTGTCCCTTGGTAGTAGATACATATCCAAATAATTAATTTTAACTAGTATGTTGAAGAGTTTCTTCTCAAAATGTCAAATGATTTTCATAATAGAAAATTAATTTTTTCTGAAAAATCACAAGATAAGTTTATTGTAAACCAAGTATATTTCCTATTTAATGCATGATTTAATGATGATCCTATTTAATGATGAATAAAATTTTTATGTATTTAGACTTATAGTCAGCTGTCATTAAATACATATTTATTAGTAGTTATTTTTATCTCTTATGACTCAACTTTTTAGAGTACCTTAGAATATATTTTTCTACTTTTTCGAATTTATGAACTTGTTATCTCGAAAGCTCGTTATCTCGAAATTTTTTTAGCGTCCCTTCAACTTAAGAGATATCAAATCTCTCTCTGCGTGCGTGTGTGTAACGTAAAAATCTTCACTTAATCTTTTTATGTTATTCCTTTATCTAAATCTTCTTTTCTGAATTAATTATTCTAAACTAAAAGCTCTTTCTCAAACTTTAATATTCGCATCCTATCTTTTAATCTATTTCTGGCTTCAAGTTATGCATTCATTAACATTTTATAGTTTTCCCTCTGACTAACTCGTGAGAAAGACTTTTTCTCTCGACCCATTTAATAGACCAATAATAATTATTAAGATTTCCCTTATTCCCTAAAACGAAATATTATACGGATATATTTTGCAAGATTTTCCCTAACTTTTATTGAAGAGTACTTCGATTTTGTGTCACTTGGATGATTGTTCTCTGTCTAATTATTATATGAACTATCTTTTCCCCTGCTTGTCTTTATACTCGCTTTCGGCAACGACCATTATCCTTGAAATCATCGACTTCTCGATTCAACGGCACCTGAGAGTCGTGAAGGTCCCGGATTCTCATTAACTTTTTATTTCTTAAAAATTCATTTTTTGTCTTGCAAATTACGCGTGTAGACAGCTTCCAGTTCGTGATGTTATACCTTTAATTAAATTTGTTAATTGTTAAGTTAATTATTTTATTTCATTACCGGCATTGAACAGCCGACCCAATTTTTGGGTTGACTACTAATTACAAGGCTATTTCGTAGCCTTGTCATTTTGAACCCAATCCAGAAGACAAGGGAACTCCTGGATTAAGCATTGGGATGAATTTGCTTTCGCGGGGGACTTTTTGATGGAACTAACTCGTATCATGGAGTAGAAAACCACGAAAACCTCCCACGGTTTGCCTGACGGCAAGGGGACTCTAACCCATGATCCGTCTACCACTGAGGAAATTTTACATCAGCACTGTGGTCGGTGTAAGCCAGGTGCGGAATTCGTATCAACCAGCCATCGCTGGGATTCGAATACAGTTCACATCATTGGAAGGCGAACGCTCCATCCCCTGAGCGGCTTTAGGTTAATTATTGTCTTTTTTTTTTCTCTTTTGCCTCACAAATCACTACATATATATTCTAAAAATCAAATTAAAAACAAAAAAAAAACGACTTTAATGTACAAAGAAGTCAAATATAATTGATTGGCAATTAAAAGTTCATTTTAATTACAATAGTGTCATTTATCTTAACTTCTTAACAAGAATACTAATTATCCTGCCTTTCCATTCTAAAGCATTATTATTTGTTTTAAAAATTTCTCTTTTGCTTTAAGGTGTATTGTTTATTGATCTTATAACTTAAAAGAAATTTATAACAGTTAATATCCGTTTTGTTTCGGCCAAAAATCCTTACATATAAAATTCATTGCTTTGCATGGTTAATAATAAGAGCACAGTTTGATTTTAATAAGTTGCTAATTTATTTTATTATTCATTAAAAGCGCCATTAAGAATACTTTTGTTGAACATATGACATAATATGTTGTAGTGAACATTTTTAGTAACAAATTCACCTTTTAAGATAAATATTAAATCCACTTGAATTTATATTTAGATAGTGTTTCGATTTTTGATAATACGATTTGAAATCTCGAACTATTTGAAATTCTACTTATTTAAAACCAGAGATTGAGATTCACAATTATCTAATTATAATAATAAAATGAAGAGCCTCTCTCATTAACTGTTTGAGCTATCATTTTGAAGATCTACTCCAAAGGGCAATTTTAGCTCCTAAAAATTCTTTCAATTAATCATTCGAATAATGAATTTTTCTCATTGGTTGAGTATTAGTTATTATTACAGTTTAAACTGCAAAACGAATTTTTTTTTTTTTTTTTTTTTTTTTGCACACTGTTTAAAGTGAACAATACTTAGTCAACATAATTTCTTAAAGTCAGCCTAATGGATAGGATTTTCAAAATAAATGTAAACAACAATCTCGAGATCTTGACCTGCTCTACTTCTGTTAGGCGATATTTTCAAACCGATAATTTTGTTTTTAATAAAAGAAATAAATATATGTAATTTCTAAGCTCAAATCTGTTGTATTTCATAAGATATAAGGTAATTCTGGTGAGTTTGAAGGGAAAATTTGTTTTAGATTTAGAGACGCATTGTTAAAAATAAGTGACATGGTTGCTAGATTTGGAAGGAACTTGCTTTTTTGGCAGTTCTGATTTGGGCTATTTTTACTTGTTTATTAGTGCTTGCTCCTGGAGCAAGCCGTGCGCCATCATGCATTAGTGTTAGTACGTTGTTCGAGCTGCGAGATTAAGTTCATTTACAAATTCTCATTTAGGTTTTAATTTCGAAGTTGGTTTAGTGTTAACAAAATAAGAAGCGTTTAATAACGATTCTTTTTTCTAATGATCAATTATTACGTCTTAAATGACGATTCTTCTTTCAAGCACAAATAATAAATGAAGTGGCAAATATCCCAGAAACTACTACTCAATAGAAAATCCGCAGAAAACCTTACGACAACCTTGTGTTGGAATTTTTTTTTTTATTGTCTTGAAAATGTTTGTATTAAAAACCTTTTTTCGATAAAGCAAAAATATTTGCAGTTTCAAACTTTTCATTCAAAAAAGGATTAAAGATTATTTTTTAAAAATTATTGTCACTTAGGTGTCCATCATATGACGTTTTAGCTTACGTCATAGTATCAATTTGCATTGTCCATTAAAATGTCACGACAAGGTGGATTTTAGCTGAGCACACAAGACGTTGCGAAAAGAAACCTTATAATGACCTAGATTTAAGATTATTTCCCCCCTTGAGACAAGCTTTATGGAAGCATTTTTTTCACACTTGAAAACTCTAAGTCGACCTCGAATTAAGGGTTTTATATAGAAGGTTGTTTCCCCAAGGCTTTGGATGAGGGTAATGTGCGTAGAATAGAGTAGATTGTCACAGATTCACCGTTTTAAGGTTAGAAGGTTTACACGTAAACCGCATCACAAACCTTTTTAGGTTTACATCAAAAGGTTTTTGCTGAGTAAAGATAAACCTTATTTTGCTATATGGGTCATGGTGTGAACCAAATGGCTTCAAAACATACTAAAAACAGTAACCCGGAAGTTTCAGGCAATAGTCTGTTGCTAAACCTTAGTCTCAATGGCTAAATGAGGAAGCTTTTCTTTCCAACGTTCATGTGTCAAATGCTCAAGACGTTGAGGAGATTGAGCCCTCCAATCAATCCCAGCGATCTGCACTCGACCACAGTGCTGACCAAAAATATCCTCAGTGGTAGACGGGTCCGTCAGGCTAAACTTTGGAGATTTTCATCTCCATGTAACGCAAATGCGGGTTAGTTCGAAGCCCCTCACATAGCAAATTTTTCTCCCAATACTTGATACAGGAGTTCCTTCTGAATCGGGTTCAAAGTTACAACTTACAAGGCTAATGTCGTAAATTGGGTCAGTGGCTGCAACTTTTATAATTGGCGATCGAAATGAACTACAGGTGGCGTAGAGCACAACTCTCTGCCTATGGCAGCGCATGCTTTCACCATTAGCGTGTGGAGAGTCATAGAAGGAAGGAAGTTTCTGTCTTGATTTCCAAATAGATTAAAAACTTTTAAGTTGGAAAACTATATGGAACTGGAAACTACATTAAACATAATTCCGAAAGAAAACGTCGCGGAAATTTTAAAAAATATGTTTGTGGCAATTAAATACGAAAAATATTTAAAAAAAAAGGGGGGGGTATCGTAGTACATTCCTATACAACTGAGACCAGGGAGGCACTGAAAGAGGAGAAAGAAATTTACCTGAGAGGATTCTTCTCCAATCCAAAAATGAATATTCCATTCCAACCGTTGTCCCTCTTCTGATGTCTAAAAAAATACAAACAAGGCGTCATTTTTACTATAACTGCCTCCCTACAAGGCAAACATTTTTTACTACCTCCATTTTTAATTTAACAAAACAAATTCAGAAGAAGAAGAAAAAAAAAAGCTTTACTTACTGTATGCTTCAAAAATAATGAAAGAACATTCTCAGAAATAAAACTCTCACATTTGACAGTTCGGCAATTGTTGCATTTTGAGAATTGGGTACTTCAAGAAGATCACCACACAAGTGACCTATGACGTCGAGCTCCAACTGATCGTTTCTTGTCTTCTACTTAACTTGAATTTATTATTTATATGCATTTTATTGTAACCGTGATACATTTTTGTCTTGTGTACCTGGCATAATTAGTTTGTTTATGTTCCACATGCCTGTCTTTGTGTTTGGTCTCTGGGTAAATACATAGTGAAAGAATATAGAATGTGTCATTCAAAGGAATTGTTACTTAACGGCCTAGACTTACTCGAAATAGAATGGAAAGAACAGTTGCTAACGTAGACAAATGCCACGTTTCAACAACTTATCAAGATTCATATACCCACACTACGTCACTTGCAGGTATTCTATTATTTCGTTCCGAAACCACGTGATTTATGACGAAACGTGAATTCTCAAATATAAAACGAAATATCTCTTTAATCGTGAACCTCATCGCAATGGATTGTGATTTATTCTTTCGTACTCTACTGACAACTGAAACTTTAGACTTTGTTTTTCCAAGATACACAAACATGTTTTATTTGAGAAATTTATATCAATATTATGTACTATATATATATAGTGTATTTACTTTAATTAATGACTGCAGTCATGTGTAGTATTTTACATTTAAGATGCTCATGAAAATAATGCTCATGCTTATAACTTTCCATTTTTATTGCAGTGTTGCTGTTGATGGTTTATTTTAATATACTATTTTAAAACACTTTGGTTTTGAAATAATTATTACTATTTGGAAATGGTAATAGTTCTGCAATTTTATGCTATTTATAAACAGTAGTATACTATTAAGATATTTCCAAGAGAATACATTTATATCTGATAATATATTATTAAATGTCTGTGAGGCAGTTGTCCAACAACCGGGTCACACGCTCGATCTTTGCACATCTCAGCTGTATATAGTTTGTCTATAGTAAGAACTCCCCTAGCCATTCGTTCGGACCCGCGGCGGTGACACTGTTTAGGACAGGTTTTCACTCGAGTTGGCGAGAAATAGGTTTTCTTCGGTCTATTGCAAGGCTAAAGTGAAGATGTAGAAGTTCATTCCTTACTCAAAGCTAAAACTATGATTGCCCACCTCATGACGTCACGCCGCACATAGATCTCGAAAATCACAACTAAAGGATATGAAAACTGTGCTGTCTATACTTTCTGTAAGAAATGAGTTGAATGTTCGACACTTTTCTGATAATAGCAGTCAAACTTTACACTGCTAACAAATTATTTATTTTCAAAAATATAGTATTCATTCATTTTCTTATAGTATTAAAAAAATAACATTTTAAAGTTAGAAAGATTTCTCAATGGTTGTCGTTATCGTTTTCTAATTTTAGTTTTTAACTTTTGCTGTTAAATAAAAGAAAGCATATGTAGGCACTTTTATAGTTACAGTTAGTTCGATAACAATAGTTTATTAATTGGGCTGTCTAATTTTAATATAAATATACACCGAAGAGCCATTACATTATGACCACCCTTCCATCTATAACAATGGGCTCGCCCAGGTTTTCATGGTTTCTCGCCCAGGAACAATGTTTTCATGGGGCACATTAGGACCCATAATCTTCATAGAACAATCCCTGACGTCTGTAAGCTACTTGAACATAGTTGCAGACCAGGTTTACTATGGCATTGNACACCCTTGAAAACACAAGTAGATGGTAACCTTCCAGGAATTCCACCTTCGTCAAATTTTAACCACACAGTACCATCGGCAGCTGTTTCGGTCTCTTGAAAGGTGTTATCAGTTTCTTCATCAGAGTCTGAACTACTTAGCACCCTACACCTTTTCCTGGACACATTGATGACACTTTCATTTTCATCGTTGGTGATCGCCTCTTCATCGCTATCTTCAACATCAGATGTCTCATTTTGAATATAATCCGATTCATCTTCAGATGATAGTTCCTAATTTTTTGTATCTGATTCTATATCGGAGCACTGCTCACCTATGTTCTTTAGCTTTTCCAATAACTCCCTTCTATTCGACATTTCTTTCATGAATTTAGGGCACAAAAGAAATTAACTGAACAACGTGTCAGAGCGACTATCACTGCATAAAGCAGGCCTATCCTAAGGCGACACGTGTGCAGCTCACGGTTATTACGTTGAAGCGCGTTCAAGGGGAACGAGGCGTGTGGGCAAAAATCAGTCACCATTTACTACACGAGGAGTCTTCGGCTGGCGAAGATCGAACCCACAACCCCCTTGGACTTGTGCCCAGTGCCCTATAAACCAGGCTATCCCGGCTTTCCCAAGTAGTCAAAATGACTGCTTTTAGGCAATATAGGTATAACACACATTTTTTTTACCAGAAATGACAGAGGGGTGGCAATTACAATGATTAATAAACGCTTCTATATGTTGTACAAAAAGTCATAAAATTCTAAGAAGCTGTGTCATTATGTACATAATTGTTTTTCAAATTGAAATTGAAAAGCAGTCAAAATGACTTCCTTAGGCAATCTAGTGTTAATAACTATATCGATATAACAATTCAATTTCAAATAGGATTGTATCCAATGTAATTTTATCCAGGTTTCATTTATTTAGTTCAGTGTCAACGATAATATTTATCTTATAAATGTTTGTAACCCATCCAATAACGTTTTAAATATAATACAATTTATTTTTTTAAAAATTTTATAGTTCTTAACTATAAATAATCTCCATGCCATTTATGACAAAAACAAATTCTTTTTATTCTTGTAGTAGATTTTTGTAGGAACTAATAATTTTCAGTTTTTTCATAAATTAGTTATTATGAGGATGTGATAGTAATTCATATTAAAGACTAATTAATATTCAAAAAATTATGTTGAGCATGTAGAATTGTTTGCGTAATATTTCTGTATCTAACTTATATATTTGGTGTCAAGTATTTTGTATAGAAAATGTTTTTCTGTTTTTAGTTCAGGAAATCGAAGAGAGAGGAAGCATTTCCCCTGTTCGATAAAGAATGCTAAAGATTAATTAAATGATAATGTGTTTCTGTATTAATTTTTCCATATTTGCATGTATGAAGTAATATGATTCAGAAATGTAAAGTTTAGGTTGATCAGGTTGATATTAGATCATTAAATTTAGTAGAGCGATTTCGCAGGCATTAATTACGTTTTAAATCTAATAAGAAGATAATATAATTTTTTTGTTTGTTGTTGCTTATTTACAAATATTTTTTTCATGTCTTTGGGATGTCCCTTCTCTTAAAAAAAGGGGGATATTCCATTTTTTTTCGCTTGCATAAGTAAGAATAACAAAAAATTTTCTTCTTAAAATTTAATAAGCCACAATAAAAAAGAAACGCTACCATGCTACACTGAAGAAATATTCAGTGCAACTGATGATTCGCTTTAAACGGTCTAAGTACTACATCACATCGCAACTTAACAATTCTTTCATTTCTTATACTTTTGTTTTTACAGCAGTTAATAAAACAAAGATTGAATTTTTTAGTATTTAAAGGGAGAATTGCACTGTTCTATAGTTAATATTTTACAGCAGGTATTCGATTAAAAAAAGAATTTGAATTTAGCTTTTGAATTTAGCTTTGAATTTAGCTTTTTAAAAAAATCTTTAACAATGAAAATTAATCTATAATTCTTAAGATTCAATACATTTAAGAGAAAATATATATCTTTTAAATTAATAAAAATATTCCTCAATATATTGCAAAAATATTTCACAGTCGAAAAATTTACATTAGATATACAATATTTCTAAATTTAGTTTCTAAAATCACTTATTTAGAGTATCCAATAACTCAGTATTAACGTAAAATTTAAGGGCATTTAAAACTCAGCAATAAAGAATTTTATTTATTTATTTTTTTAAAAAATTACTTTTAAAACTAATTTTTTTTTCTTTTTCTATATAAAATTGTGCACTTTTAATTAGATTTCATACAGAGATAACAATAGCTCGTAAAAAACTTGGAAATTATCAGATAAATATTGCGTTTTTTAAACGACTATTTTGTAATCTCTTTTTACAACATTTATCACTCACTTCCTGTGAACGCTATACCACAGGAGTAATTTTTCATCGCCACTCTTCTTTCACCTTCAGAACATGATTTAGGTAAATTTAGAGTAAATACAGAAAAGAAATGTTCCAAAATAATGCAAGCAAAATGCAAGCAAATCATTGGCAGAGAATTTCCCCATTCCATAATCCTCTCATAAATTTGTTTTGATAAAATGAAAATTTCTTTTCAGTATTTGAAACTTTATAACTTACTATGTCACTTACATTAAATTATATATGGAAGAGAATTTGCGACGAAAAATTTCTCTCGGGCGTCCATTCATTGCGTGTGAAACTCGAGCATCATCATAGTTCACAAAAGGATTAAAATCCTTCTTCACTCAATGAAACAGATCATTCATCGTAATACTGATGGGAGAATAAAATAATGAATCAATAACCGAAATCTTTCATTATTTCAACTCTCTCTCTATGTGAGGAGGAGAAATGGGAAGACTTGTTTTTCTTTGAGATATTAGGACGAACAAGTGAGATTACGAAATGAGGGTTTGTGGCATCTTCCTTTCTTTAGTAACACCCCCGGTCATTGACAGCATCTCATGATGTTACGCAGCGGAGACATCCAAGACAAAAGCAGCCTTATTTGAATCTCTTGCCTTCACTACACCACGCGTCTGAAATTCTAAATGCGGTAAAATCGGACACAATTAGTTTTGGGCACCCCCGAAATTATATATAACTTGATTAATGAACTATTCGGTTCGATAAGTAAGATGATGTAGACATAAAATGTTTTCCTTATTTTCGTAANGATGGGGCTACTATTATTAAAAACATATGATTTTTAGTTAGTTCTAACCTTCGAAAGACACGTGTATAAATTTGACAGCTGTCGGACTAACAGTTTGTGAGATATAGTATTTTTAGTGAAGCAACTTTTGTTAGTTTAAAAACAATGGATAAAAAGGAATTTCGCGTGTTTATAAAGCATTGCTTTATAGTGAAAAAAAATGCTCTTGAAGCCAAGACTTGGCTTGAGAAACATTATTCGAACTCTGTACCAGGAAAATCAACCATTGAGAAGTGGTTTGCTAAGTTTAAACGATTCGAAATGAACACTAACGAAGATGCGCACCGCGGACACCCCTAAGAGGCTGTTAGCGACGAAAATATCAAAAAAGTCCGCAAAATAATTTTAGATTACCGTAAAGTGAAGTTGATCAAAATATCTGAGACCCTAAAGTTATCAAAGGAAAGTGTTAGACATATCGTGAATGAATATTTGGGTATTAGAAAGCTCTAGGCAAAGTGGGTGCCGCACGAGCTCAATATTGACCAAAAACAACAACGAATTGATGATTCTGAGCTGTGTTTGAAGCTGTTTAATCGTAATAAATCTGAATTTATGTGGCGATATATGACAATGGGTGAAACATGGCTCCATAATTTCACACCGGAGTCCAATCGACCGTCAGCGAGTGAACTGCACGAGATGAACCAACTCCAAAGCTTGGAAAGATGCAAAAGTCAGCAGGCAAAGTTATGGCGTCAGTATTTTAGAATGCTCATGGTTTAATATTCATTGACTATCTTGAAAAGGGAACAACCATCAACATCGACTATTATATAGCGTTATTGGAGCGTTTGAACTACGAAATCGCAGAAAAACGGGCCCATTTGAAGAAGAAGAGAGTGCTGTTTCATCAAGACAATGCACCATGTCACAAGTCAATGAAAACGATGGCAAAATTATATAAATTGGTATTCGAATTGCTTCCGCATCCACGGTATTTTTCAGATCTGGTCCCCATCGACTTTTTCCTGTTCTCAGACCTCAAGAGAATGCTCGCTGGAAAGAAATTTAGCGCCGATGAAGAAGTAGTCACCGAAACTAAGCCCTATTTTGAGGCTAAAGACAAATCGTAGTACAAAAATGGTATCGAAATATTATATGACCGCTATAATCGTTGTATCGCCCTTGAAAGAAACTATATTGAATAATAAAATGAAATTTTATCAAAAAAAAAAAATTTCTATGTTAGCCTACGAACTTTTCAGCCCACCTGTTATATATATATAGCTGCAAACTTGGACAGCCGTTGAGAGAGAAAAACTTCTTAGTAGTAGCAACATTTTAGCAGTTTAACGAACGTATTAAATCTTCAGTTTAAAGTTTCAAATTTCAACCTACCACGACACATCAATATTTTAAAAAATATGATCTATTTGTTAGCCTATTTAGCTCTTCAATGTTTAATTATTAAAAATTCTTTACAACTGTACTTGTTCATTTACGACCAATTTATAAAATCTTTTTTAGCGACCGTTATATATATATATATATGTCAGAAGGCGTAACAACCCTCCAAACATACAATAAAACTACGCCGCTGGACACACAATGAATTTATTGATTAAATCTGACAGTCTTATTTCTAAATATGCTTGTTGATGCTACATCATTAAAAATCAACAACTTAGAAATTCTCTAGATAAGCGAAAATAAGTGTCTAAAAAGAGCTGTTATAGAACAATCAACTTACCTTTAAAATAATGTAGGCATCCCCAGTATAAAAATTTCCGTACTCTGCACTCGGAACAGATTTCACTTCAAAATTCTGTAATGTGAAACAATATATTAAAACATCACTATCCTTCATAATTACTGTTATACATTAATGACCAAATATCATCATCGGACAGCAAAAAAGACATCCCGGTTTAAAAAAAAAATTGTAAAAATAAATATATATATATAGAAAAAGAGAGAGATCGAAAAGAATAAAGAAAATTTCATTTTTGTCAGATGTAGGGTTCATGCGTTTTCTATCACAACTGAAAATTAATCCACGATGTAGAAAAAAGAAAAGTGGAGAAAATATAGAGAAAAGTGAAGAAAATAAAGAGAAAAGTGGAGAAAATATAGAGAAAATATAGAGAAAATATAGAGAAAAGTGGAGAAAATAAAGAGAAAAGTGGAGAAAATATAGAGAAAAGTGGAGAAAATAAAGAGAAAAGTGGTGAAAATAAAGAGAAAAGTGGAGAAAATATAGAGAAAAGTGGAGAAAATAAAGAAAAAAGTGGAGAAAATGAACAGAAAAGTGGAGAAAATATAGAGAAAAGTGGAGAAAATAAAGACAAAAGTGGAGAAAATAAAGAGAAAAGTGGAGAAAATAAAGAGAAAAGTGGAGAAAATAAAGACAAAAGTGGAGAAAATAAAGACAAAAGTGGAGAAAATAAAGAGAAAAGTGGAGAAAATAAAGAGAAAAGTGGAGAAAATAAAGAGAAAAGTGGNTATATATATATAGAAAAAGAGAGAGATCGAAAAGAATAAAGAAAATTTCATTTTTGTCAGATGTAGGGTTCATGCGTTTTCTATCACAACTGAAAATTATTAATCCATGATGTAGAAAAAAGAAAAGTAGAAAATAAAGAGAAAAGTGGAGAAAATATAGAGAAAAGTGGAGAAAATAAAGAGAAAAGTGGAGAAAATAAAGAGAAGAGTGGAGAAAATAAAGAGAAAAGTGGAGAAAATAAAGAGAAAAGTGGAGAAAATATAGAGAAAAGTGGAGAAAATATAGAGAAAAGTGGAGAAAATAAAGAGAAAAGTGGGCGATAATCCTCGGGGAGGTGATGAGTATTAAAAAGAAAATAAATTAAAACAATGATAAAAAGCTAGCGAAAATTTACACGAAACCGATCTAATTTAGACAAAGAATTACGAAGTTTTTAAAAAAAATCTGATATTTCTCGTCCACTCAGAATTAAGAAATAGGTTGAACAATTGCTTGACACCTCTCACAAACTGTTAACCGAAAGCATAACGAACGATGACCAATAGAGTTTTCAAATCTTAATTATCAACGCTTCTTCCAGATTCAACTTAAAAAATATATGTATACTCCTGTTTTAATTATTTTACTTCTAATATCTGTCCAATCAGGGATGAGTTGGTAAAAAACCGTAAAAGCTAAAAATAGAAATACAAAAACGTTGTACACAAAACAAATTTCAAATAATAGAAAAAAATTCCTGAAATTTAAGCAAGTGTATATAGGGAGCATGCATTCGTAGAACATCATCAATGCTTTAGTAAAAAAAAGAATAAATCTCGAATTATGAACAATGCAGAATACATTTTTTTTTTAAATCTTGTGTGAATTTTGATGTGAATGGGAAGATTTTTTATATCACTTGAATACAAATCGAGATGTGTCATGTTAAATCGCGTGAATATTCGATCAGGATATGATTATTAAATCCAGTAAATGCAATTTTAAATCACGTTTACATAGGTACGAAAACGTGTAAAAAACGAAGTTCGAAAAAAAGAGTAAGTTTCTTAGAAAATGCAATATTTTTAATATTGTTAAATTTTTTAAAAAAAAGAGCAGAATTCCACCGAAAAATTGGAAAAAGTCATCCTTGTGTTCCTTTTGCAAAAAAAAAATAAATAAATAAAAGAATAGAAGGAAAAAAAAGAAAAAGAAATTACATTTTCACTTTTCTTCTTCCAATTCAGTATTATCGATGTTTATAGCGACAACTGGTGGTTTTTTGAGAAAAGAGAGAGAAGATGATCAATCAACATCAAGAGCAGAGATTTTTTTTTTTGTCAGGGGCATTCCTCATTTACTTACCGAGCAGACTGATAAATAAAAAAAAAATGTATGACAAAGAAGGATTGATTATAAAATTCGTAGCAAAACAGATGACCCAAATATCCCTTCATAAAACACTGTTTTTAGAAATGTCACATAAAAATAGGCCGTCATCTAATGGAAGAAACATTTTTATAGTCAACTATAAATTCATGTTTTATTGTCCACATAAATGTTAGTCATCATCCAACTCCAAAATTTCTTTCATTTTTATTTGGAAACAACCTTAAATCTAGTGCGTTTCGGACAGAAAAATGTTGCATTTGCTTATTCTAAACTAGCCCCGTTTTTCGTAAATGAAAAGAATAAATTACTAATGAACAACAGTACACTATCATGCACAATGCTGAAACGCCAAATAATTCCAATCTTCTTTATTTATCATTATTTGTTGAATGTGTCGATGACTTTACATTATTAGATTAACACGTATTTTAATAGTTCGTCCCATCGAAATAAAATATTCAATTCATCAATGGTAATAGTTTTTTAGGGTCTCTTTAACAAATGAGTAGCATTTCTCCATTTATTTCGCTTTTCATACAATTTTGTACTTCGATTAGTAATTAAGCGTAACAAATAAACACGTGGGTAACTTTAGGAAATAATTCGGAGACCACTTTGACCATTCAGATAATCTGGCATTATTAATTAAAAAATAATTAAGTATCACAGCAATGAACAAAAACTTTTTTTAATGAGCGCTCAGCAAACATCCTATTTGACAACACTGAATCGTCGTTAAAACAATAGCTTTATAAAACAATATCGTTAAAAGTTAGGATTCTTAATTTGTTGTACTTCCTGTTGAAAGTACAGGCACCACAAACTCTTTATTTTTATTCCTTTAACATTTCTTACATGAAACATTTTTACAACTATGTTGATGAACTTATCTTGTTTCATATGTAGCTCGATAAAACGAGAACGACAAAATGCTTTTTATAACAAATAGTATCTCTCTGATCCTCTTTTAACGAAATATTTTTGATTGTGTCCCTTCTAATAGTTTATCCTTACTGAATTGATTCACGTAAAAACAGCATGATATAGACGATTCAGTATTTGTTTAAATTATGAAAGAAAAAACAGTTAAAATAACAATCAGTTAGTGAGATTCCCTACTCAAAATGACGTTTTGTTTACAGAGGAAATAAAGCGAGAGAAATATTATTTTTCCTATTGTTTATCCCTTTTCAAAGCATCTTATTTTAAACATTCAAACTCTAAACAAAATACTTATTGGAGAAAGAAATTCTTGAATAGGGAGATAAAAAAAATCTGACTTTGACAAATAAGACAAAATGTAATGCTCGTTTTTATCACTTTCAGCTTCTGAATCCTCTCTGTGGGGACAGCCAAACTGGGGAGGGGAACCCAATCTGGGGGTTTCATATGCCATCAGATCCACCAAAATTGCTATTGTCAAGAAGTACTTTCTTTTAGACAAACCTCTTTGGAAGAATCTGATGGCCCAGTGTGGCAATAAAAACTGTGGATCTGAAGCCATTTTCAAGAGAAATCCTTGGGTGATGAGGTTCTAAGACGTCTTTAGTTGGATCTTCGACTGATGAGAACTGACTATGGGGCTCTCACTGGAGTGGGTCGTGGAAGCTCCAATAACATCTGAAGGAGGAAGAACCCCGGAAGGACAAATCTCTTGATTCAAACGATGCTCTTGATTTTTCAGAGTTTCTGGGTCAGACATAACTAACTCTATGATCAGCATCTATGCTTGGAATTGATGAAGCAGTTAAAAGGAGATTTTCCTCCTTAGGTACTTCCCATTCCAGTTCTTTTTTTTTTTTATCTTATAATCTTTTATGGTAACAGAATCAATCTCCATCATAGCATTGCTGCTTCTAGTCTCTTGGCTAAAAGGTTGAATTTGACATTACTCTTATACAAGAGCCCTGGATCCATAAGGTACGTAAAGGGTTTTTATGACCTCTCCCCCCAAGAACCTGCATCTAATCAAAAAAAAATACCCTTAACCTCGTCAACTTTCACCACAGGGATTGAGTTGCTGTTATTTTATGACAAAAAAATCAGCTTCTGACTTTGTCATCGTTTCTCTCCCTTCCCACTGACTGATGCTGCGAAGGCAATAACTAGCTATTGTAGTTCTGGCTGTAAACTCATCTTCTGCTGCAATGCTCGGCACACAGTGTGAGAAAGTAGGTATTGTTACCCGTGGGGAGGATGTATTTTATTTTATAACTTATTTGTCCTTATTAAAGGCAATGAATCTACCTTTGTTACGTGTAACAGATGGGAAGTCATTGACCTTACTTTATGTAATTCCATTTCTATAGATCACATTATGCGATTTTCTATCTATAGATATCGTGCCCCATTCAGGTACAAACTTCGAAATGGTTTTGCCCATTAAATTGTAAAATTCGATTTATTTATTTTTTTTAATTGTTACATAGTATAGTTTTACGGACAAAAAAAGGGATTATTTTAATCAGGGGACTCGATGTTAATATGTATTGTAAATAAATGTAGATAGTCTTCTAAAATTTCTTTTCTTAAATTTTTTTTTTCTTTGAAGATGCTTTTAAAGTGAACATCTATGTTCAACAAATTGCTAATTTCTCCATTTGAGAAAAAGAATGAGTCCGACGGCTTAAAATATGAAATTCAAACAATATAGCTAAAAATTTTAATAATTTTTCAAATTACAAATTTTACATTTGCGTCTGAAAAACGAATATTAACTAACTTACATTTTTAAAACATTTGCCAGAAATGGCTGCTGTTTATCTGCCTCTGTCTTCTTTTCCCTGCAGAGCTGAAAGCAAAGTTTCCACCAAGATTTCTGTTTCACTCAGCAGAAGCTTTTTACATTTATTCGTAGCATGCCAATGCAACGAATAACCTTTCATACAGCTCATTAATTATTCTTTACCACATATCAAAGCGAAACATTCTTTCTTTTACGATTTAAATTT